CGGAACCACGTGGCTGCATTCGCGGCTGCGCAACATCTTTTTATGACATCTTATTATCTCATTCCTACTTTGGACAAACTGGCAGGCTACCGAATGTAGCCTGCCCACACGGCAGAGTCTGGCAAACTCCCCATGGCGTACCCAATATGCCAAATACCAGTAACAATGATGGGTCTCATTCTCCTAAAGAGCCTTGAATATAATCTCAGGGCTAGGATGAAGGAGACGTTACTGGGGCCTGCTCGAGGCAATCGACGAATAACAGGATGATTTGTGATTTTGTGATTTGTGAATGTGGGCATGGAGCCAAAGGAAAATCAGATCTCACACTCTGGTCCCCGGGCCCAGCCTGGGGTGCCTGTCGGGGCCAGGAGAGAAGGCTGGGTTGGGATGTGGTATCCTCACTAGCAGACCCTCCCCTCCAGAACCTGACAGCAAAGGGTCCTGGGCTCACATAGAAATGTGGATTCCTGTGGGCTGCACAGCCCAGGGGTCCACATGGCCCTCTCTTCACCAAGGGGCTGAGTAGGAGCAGAGGGTGTGGATACAGCTAGGGAAGATTTTGTGGGAGCTGTTTTTTTGTTTGTTTGTTTGTTTGTTTTTAGGATATATGGCTCAATTCCTCTGCCCCTCTCGGGGAAGCTGGCAAGCTACCGAAAGAGTATCTCACCCGCACAGCAAAGCCTAGCAAGATCCCCGTGACGTATCCAATATGCCAAACACAGTAACAAGTCTCCAAATGGAGATGTTACTGGGCCCGCTCGAGCAAATTGATGAACAATTGATGACAGTGACAGTGACAGTCTGAACTCAAATTCCAGTCACCTGTGTTCCTAACAGTCTTTTCAGAGGAAGGTTTGTTAAGCTGTCTCATATTGGATACTTTAATGAATACAGTCCTTGTAAAATGGGACCCTTCAGTCGCCATGAGTCCAAAGTATGCAACCTATTGGGAAAATGATTTTTATATCCTACAAATAGATGTTTTAGTCTCGACTTCCTCCTTAGTTAAGGTCTGATACCAATACTGAGGCAATTGAATTTTTAAAAAGGGTTGTGTTGAAGTGACCAAAATACAAAGACAGTCTACAGAATGGGAAAGGATATTCACCGAATACACATCTGACAAGGGGTTGATATCCAGGATATACAAAATACTGGTTAAACTCCACAAGAAGAAAACATCCAACCCCATCCAAAAATGGGGCAATGAAATGAACAGAAACTTTCTCAAAGAAGAAATCCGAATGGCAAAAAAGCACATGAGAAAATGCTCTACATCATTAATCATCAGGGAGATGCAGATCAAAACCACAATGAGATACCATCTCACACCTCAGAGACTGGCCCACATTCAAAAGAACAAAAGCAACCGATGCTGGCGTGGATGTGGCGAGAAAGGGACACTCCTTCACTGTTGGTGGGAATGTCCACTGGTTCAGCCCTTCTGGAAAACAGTATGGACGATTCTCAAGAAATTAGAAATTGAGCTCCTATTTGACCCAGCAATACCACTCCTAGGAATATATCCCAGAGAGGCAAAAATGTATAGTCGAAGTGACATCTGCACTTGTTTGTTCATTGCAGCACTCTTTACAATAGCCAGAAACTGGAAGAAACCTGAGTGCCCAAGAACAGATGACTGGTTAAAGAAACTTTGGTACATCTACACAATGGAGTACTATGTAGCTCTTAGAAAAGATGAAGTCATGAAATTTACATACAAGTGGTACAATATGGAAAGTATCATGCTAAGCGAAATGAGTCAGAAAGAGAGGGATAGACATAGAAAGATTGCATTCATCTGGGGGATATAAAGTAACAAAGTATGAGATTAATACCCAAGAATAGTTGAGATCAGCACCAGGAGGATTACTCCATAACTTAGAGGCCAGCCGGGTATCCTAGAGGAAAGGGCAGTTCAGATAGAGAAGGGAGCACCAAATAAAGGATGTTTGGAGGATCCTCCCAGGAGGGGAGATGCATGTCGAAAGTAGACTATGGACTGAACATGTTTGCCACTCAATGCCTCTTTTGCAGACCACAACACCCAAAAGGAGAGAGAGAACACAGGGGATTGCCCTGCCACAGAGACAGGGGGGATGGGGGTGGGGGGGATATTATCCATGGTGGTGGAAAATGGGCACTGGTGGAGGGATGGGTATCTGATCATTGTATAATTGAAACCAAAGCACAAAAAACTGTAAATCTACAACTTTAAAAAAAAAAATAAAATAAAGGGGAAAAAAAGTGATAAAAAAAAAAAGGGTTGTGTTGAAATGTGTCTCTATGTTTGGACAGCGCAAAGTCTTGCATGTCTGAGGATTAGACCCCCAGCACTGAAAAAAAGAAACGTCTACTTTCTAATTATTTTTGAAACAGAACAAAAAATCACAGGACACTCAAATCTTGAAGCAGCTCACCAAGATTACAGAAGCAAAAAAAAAAAAAAAAACATGACTTGTCCCATTGTTGATAAAAGCCATGAGATACGATTAAGTAGAAAAGCATTCTTGAAACATGGAAGAATTATGTTTAAGAAATGGCTAATTTGTTTGCCACAACAAATCTTCACTACACGGTTCTCCTGGAAAGCCTAATCAATTAAAGCCCTCACACACTATTCTATTTGCGAGGGGAATGAGGAATATATTACTTGTGTTATTACACAAATGAATCTCATCTTTGGGGCTTTGAAATATAACTTTATCCAGACTACAGTGAATATGTGTCATCTCCTCTCTCTGCATTACAGTGAAATTGATTTTATGATTCCTTACTCATAAATTACAGGCCCGAGGCAGAAACTGTCTGAAGAGAAGCTTTTGTTTTGTCTTGCCAGCTTGCCAACTCTCACAGGCTAGGCATGTCACACTTGCTTTCATTGTATTTTTCTGAACCACTTCTAATTTCGCAAACCTAGTTTTACTTCTCAACCTAAAATGTGAGGATTATTTTTGTTTTCTTTCTTTTTTTTTTTTTTTTGATGTGTGTGTGGCAAAAAGGCTTCCCAAGAAGCTACGCTCAGGGCAATACCCAGTCAACTGGGCCAGACTTCAATGCCAGGATCTGGCAATGTGGGGCGCTCCTGCACATCAGTGCCTGGTACCTCCAGGGTCCCACCTAGTGATGCGTGGAGGACTCCAGGACTCCAGCTATTGATAAGCAGAGCTGGCGCTGGATCTGGAGTCCTGTGCTTGCAGGGCCTGCACCCCGGCGCCCCCAACTCTTAGTTAGGTTTTGATAAAGTGACCTGTTTGGTTTTCAAATTCTGTCTGTGGACCAGCACAGTCACAGGAAGGTTGACTACTGCCAGTATAAACTGTGGATTTGGCCTATTTTAGCAGTCGCTGGAATGAAGTCTGTTTTTAGACTGAAGAGAAAAATGAACGTGCAAATGACTGCACAGAACCACCTGGATATGATGAAGAAATAAATACAAAAATGAAAGGATATGGGTATTCCTTCTCCCAATATGCACCTCCTTGAATGAGAGTATGTGACACTTGGAACATTTGGCTCCGAGGGTCCTACTGGGTGGGGATTTGGTTATGGAGTCAGGAGAATCACTGCCTTAATGTCCCTTAAAAAAATTCCTTCTAACGAGATTCTGGGCTGGAACGATAGCACAGCGGGTGGGGCATTTGCCTTGCGCAGGCAGCCCGGACGAGCCGGGTTCGATTCCTCCGCTCCTCTCGGAGAGCCCGGCAAGCTACTGAGAGTATCTCGCCCGCAGGGCAAAGCCTGGCAAGCCACCGTGCCGTACTCAATATGCCAAACACAGTAACAAGTCTCAACAACAACAACAACAAAATGGAGACGTTACTGGGTCCGCTCGAGCAAATAGATGAACAACGGGAGACAGTGACAGTGACAGAAAAGAGAGTCTATTGGCTCCTTGGTATATTGACTAACTAGGCAAAAGAGAAAGGTCCTAATATAAATGATCAAGCAGGCTGACTTCCTTTAATTCTCCCCATCTCAAGTGCACGCAGGTGTCGCAACAGAGCCCAGACCCAAGGCAGAGATCTGGGAAAGCTGAAGACTGGTCTCCTGTGAGCAAGCCCAGGGGCAACAACTCTGCTAACTGGCATAAGCAAACAACTAAAACCGGTTCTTTTCCTTCCTTGGACAGCATTAAACAGCCATGCGTTGTTTCTCTTTGCTCTTTTATTTTCCTTTAAGAAAGGAGGGACAGCTTTCATTGGGCAGTTATTCTAACAAGATTTCAACCGTAACAGTTTTACATTAATGCGATTTCCTTGAGAGAACTCATTTCCTAAATGAAAAACTGCAATTTTTGTCAGTGACCATCTGCGGCAGGTCTTTGGGTATCTCATTACACATTCCTAAAATCCAGTTTTCTTTTGAAATAGCTCAAGGCAAGCAGGACAATGTCAACTTTCAATGCCGAAACCTGACGTTCCTGCATCCTTCAGACCTATTAGCCTCTTAGTTTCCTTCTAAGCCTATTTTGGATAACATGGACGGAAACGCATCATGGGTCGGTGGATTAAATAATTCAATTTCTCTTTTTTTGGTTGTGCCATTTATTATGTTCCTTTCAGTTTCCAATGAAGGATTTGTGGCAAGTACTCAAGTAAATGAAATAAGCCTGGAGTATAGCTGTCTTAAAATGTCAGAGAAAAAAAGATCTTATGTGCTATAAATATACTAGTAAATGCTTACCAAGATTTGTGTTTCTGAGGCTTGACTAAACAGTTCTTTCCTTTACTGAAGTGATATTTTTGTTTGGTTTTGGGGCCACACCTGCTTGTGCTCAGGGCGTAATCGTAATCCTGGTTCTGTGCTCAGGGACCTCGGCTGATAGGGTTCAGGGGACTGTACACAGTAGCTGGGGGTCGAACTTAGTTGGCTGTCTACAAGGCAAGCACCATCAGGCTGTATACTATCGTTCTGGCCCCTTGTGCATTGTGAATTAACTGTTTATTAGGGAACAAATAGTTGATTAGGCCTCTAACAAAAAATATTAGAAGACGTTGTTTAAATGACATTATTTATTTTGAGATTATCCTTCAGCATGCACTGCTAGCACAAAAAACTGAACTTGATCACAACCTCCTTGAAGACAGAGTAGGTATAACTGCCATCTGTAGATCAAGAGTGTCTTCCTAGATGGCCCAAGAGCCCAGGCCTTAATAACACTGTCAGTAAGCTACAGCACAGTCAATAGAAAAATTTACCAATACCCTTTGTTTAATGTAAACAAGGCAGGAGGCAAAACAGAATATTACAGAAACACTATTTTACAGGGCCCAGAAGTATGATGACCTATCAGGTTTCCACAGTGTTACAATGCCATGCATATTCTGATCAACTATATAACCCAAAACAGAATTACCGGATAATTTGTGGTTTCAGCACTTCATTGTACAGACAAAACACTCCTGTCAATATCCATCCACTTCATCATTAAATGGCAACTGTATCTGAATGCAATAATTTATGGAAATAGGCTGCCATGAATTATGAAGTAGTTCCATAATTTGTGCCCCGTAAAATTAGTGTCATAATCTTTACACTAGCAATAGTGTAAGCAAGCCAAGGATTTTGGTCCTTTTATAGATAGATATATATGTACATATGTACACATGTATACACACAATAATATACAATTGAACCAAAAAGCTATGAACCCCTTCATAGCTTCCATATTGCACAGCTACATTATGAGAACATTACACGGTGATGAGGTGAGTGCTACGGGACAGCTGGCCAAGGACAAATCTGAATTCTATCAAGTAAAGATCGTGGCTCATTACTAAAAAAAACAAAAACAAACAAACAAACAAATATGACTACATTGCTGGAGAAAAATGGGATTTTTTTGTTTGCTTGTTCTTTTTTTCTTTTTTAATTTTTTTAAAGCATACCTATTAACACCTATGTGAAGCAAAGCTAACATTCAGTTTGGAATTTGCTCTGGCAATCAAGTGATAAGGTGATACTTTCCACTGGGCCGTTAGTTGCTATTTTGTGAGCACTGAATATTCAAAAAAAAAAAAAAAGACTAGTAAAGTAGTACGATGTTTCCCTAACAAATTCAACTCCCCTGTGAGATAGGCCAGCTCTAGCTCTAAACTAAATATGAAAAAACAAAATCAAGAACTTCAAAAAGAAACAAATTATCCCTTAAATTTTTCTGATTGCAAACCAGAGTCATCACAATAACTTAGGAATATAATTATGTCTTAAGAAGCAGCATTCATACACACAAAATTAAAGCTTTTCTGAGCCTGTGGATTAGCTAGACGGTTCCATTGTGAAATTCAGGATAAACTTGTATTGGCTTGAGAGGTAACATCATTACTATCACATCTATTGAAGACAGAAGACATGAAGAAATGCCTACGCTCTCTTAATATCGTCTTCTCAGCAGAAATACAGAGGCCGGAGTGGTCCGTGCAGAGGGGATCAATAAATATGGTAAACTGAAGGCTCGGCCTCTCCCAGAGATCATTCCAGAAGAATGCACACATGAGCTCCCACTGGCTTCTCCCATCTTGCTGCTAAATGAATTTCCTAGAACACGCTAACAAAGACTTTCACAAAACTGAAATGTTTTAACGACAGTGGGGAGCATTCTAGAGACGGGGATGTTCACTGTCTAACTCTAACGTAAGTCAGGAAAGGGGTGCCACAGAGTCAGCGGCCCGCGGGGCAGCGCACACTCCTGCACGCATGCCCCACGGTGCAAACCAGGCAAACGTGCCATGGAAACCCACTTCTCCAAGGGCAGCCGACAGATGGAGCCTTTCAGGGTGGGAGACTCACTCCCACCCCGGCCGTCAGCAGGACAGAGGAAGAGTAAGATGTGGCAGGTGGAGATTTCAAGGAAGGAGGAGAGGGAAGAGAAGGGAGAGGGTGGGGGGGGGGGGTGACACAGGAGGGGAGACCTTTACAGCGGCGACCTGGAGAAAGGGGCCAGCGAGCCCTTACATGGTCTGGAAATCAAGTACACAGAGCTGGCCGTGGCTCCCAGCCACGGCACCCCCACACTGACCACTCCCACACGAACCCCGTGGATCCGAACGTGCTAATGTGTAAACCTGTTTGCTCTTTTTCTCTTCTTTAAATTGCTTTAAAATAATTTAAAATAAAGGACTGAGTAAAAACGAAACAGTCAACACTAAGAAGGGCATTGGCGGTGATCATTGCTCAGGAGTATTCCCCTGCAGATCAATTAAAAATCAATATTAAATTTAAAGCAATATTCAGAGGGAGCAGGGAGAGAAGGCTCTCAACCCAATGTGTCAATCAATCAGCTTTTTAAAAAAATATACTACTCCAGCCAACGCTATGATGAACACGATTCAACGTTGTTGCAAAAATGACAGTCTAAACCGACAGTCTAACTGAAACTTGATTTTCAGACAGGAAAATCAAGCACTAAGATGGCTGTGTGCAAAAGAGTGAAAGAAAAATGTTTCTTTTAAAAATATATATATATATAATCATATGAATCAAGAGTTTATCATATTAAATTGTTATTCTTAGAAAAGCTGAAGAATGTTAATGGTACTCTGTACATCCTACCCTATTATTCACACACTCGCTTGATGGTTCCTCAACATTTTTTTTCATTTGCACTTTTTTCATGTTGTTTGATAAGAATTCTAACCTTAAAAAGATATAAAATTAGTTTTGGATTTTTTTTTTTACAACTTATTCATCCAAAAGAATATAAGCCATTTGAGTCCCAAAGAATGTCAAATGCCTTGTTACCTAAAAGGATATTAAAATAACAGAAATAGCATCAAAGTCATGACATGAGGAATTTTGCAGCTTTTCGCACAGTCAACTAGAAATGCTTGTTTCCTGAAGTTCCTTTGATTGTATCCTGGATTCGAGGGCATTATGCAAGAGCCAGTGTAAACAGCACTGTACAACGCTCTACCAATGTGTCCGTTTGATGGATTCTGAACGATCCTGTCCCGTTTCCAGCAACACTCATTCGGAAGGCTTTGCTCCTCGCTGCCGGGTGGAGGAGTCCTTTCTGCGGCATGGACACAGCTACGTTCCACCAGAGTTTAGGGCGTGGAGGAAGAGTGATACTTCACAAACGCAATGGCGGCCAGCTCCTTACAAAACTCTTCGAGAACGATGACACCCTCCAGCAACGTGATGTGGTCGACACTGGGGAGAGAACACAGGCCGTGCATCAACCCAAAACGTTGGCAGGTCAGCAAAGTTTGGTGAAATATTTAGATCCCAAACATACGATGATGCTGACTTACATGGGGCCTTCAGGTTCCAAGCCAAGCAATCGCTTTCTGACTACCAAAAGTTTGGGCGTGAAATCTTGAATACGCTGGATTCGAACCACAAGGTCTCCAACCACCTGCCTCACAGACACAAAAGAAACTCAGTTCCTCAAACCAACTTCCAGGGGATTTTCAGAATTAAAAAAAAAGAAAGAACATTCTTGGTCTTCAACTGCTAAGGATGCACTCTTTCACTATTCACATCACCGTCTTTAATGGAAACCTCATAGAATTTAGTCCTTAAAATATAAAAGCCACACGTGTCATTTGAAAGAATAAATTCGGGGCCAGTTTGATGGTACAGCAGGTAGGGCATTTGCCTTGCCTGTGGCTGGCCCGGGTTTGATCCCCCGCATCCCATAGGGTCACCTGAGTCCCGCCAGGAGGGACCCCTGAACACACAGCCAGGAGTAAGTCCTGAGCACTGCTGGGTTTGACCCAATGAATCCTGGTCTGTGGGAGAGCAGTGGGAAGAACATATGCCCTGTGTGCCTTGGGGTTGCATGTTCAAACCCCACAATCCACAAGGCCATAGTGTGACTCAGGTCACATGACTTACCCCCGTCCCTAACCCAGGTCATGGTAACAATCATCTCAAAGAGCGAAAAGAAACTTTTCTTTTAAATAATAATAATAAAAAAAAATTCCCATTTCCCCCTTTACATTCTGCATTGCAGTAACTACTCATAAAAGTCGACACGTTACCATTTTTCATAACGTGCCCTAACACCATACAGCGGTCTCGGGAGAATAAATGTACAGGTTCCACAAATTCTAACCAACAACACCCATAACTCACCCGGACGGTCACGGAGAAGAGAGAACGGCAGCCGGAAGCAAGGTTCACGTAAGGATCCAGAAGGTACTCGTGCACGTGGGGGTGAGGGAAGAGGGAGAGTCTCGACAGCACCGAGGTCACTTGTAAGTTTACGTCATACGGCTACGGACAGATGAGACGGGAAGGCCTCTGCATTAATCATCACGTGTGTGACTGGGTATCTGACTGACTATTTTAGTGTGTCTTTTCAAAGCAGGAAATCTACCATCTTATTATTTCCTCCACAAGTTCTCCTATAATAAAAAGCCCTACAATAAAAAGAGTTCACTAAATTGGTTCTCACTGTATTAGTCAAATTTCACGGCGATATATATAACATACAGATGTATGTGTATACATAACAGTCCTAAAATCTAAAAGATGAATACAAATAGAAACAAACAACAGCAGAGTCCTAATGTCTCTCTTTTCTACAGACTGTTTAATGAAACAGTTCAAGACGTGGCTTAAAAAAGCACCAGTGGACCGAACATGATTGCCACTCAATGCCTCTTTTGCAGACCACAACACCCAGAAGGAGAGAGAGAACAAAAGGGAATGCACTGCCACAGAGGCAGGGTGGGATGGAGGGATGGGGGGTGGGAGGGACACTGGGATCCGTGGTGGTGGAAAATGGGCACTGGTGGAGGGGTGGGTATTTGATCATGGTATAATCGAAACCCAAGCACAAAAATTTGTAAGTCTACAACTGTACCTCATGGTGTTTCACTAATAAAAAATTAAAAAAAAAAAAGCACCAGTGTCAAATTAATTACAAACAGGAAAGATTAAGTCCAACAGCCCCTCCCCCACCAAGATCCCCAGAAAATCTCAAATCCTGTTAAAATATCACAGTCTGATGTTAGAAAGGATATTCAGCTCATTGAGTATTCAACTACTGCCTGTCACTCAAAGCATGAATATAAAGACAGAGTAAAACAGATTGCAGAGATTCACCAACCAGAATAAAATGCCTGGGCTAGAAACGTCTACCTCGTGCCTTGAGGCACATGAGAAAATTCAGGTGGCAATGAGAGACGGGCTCATCGCATTCCCCACAAGGGCACTGCCCCCCAACAGTTTTTCTGCCCTTCTCTAGGGCACACCACAGTCTGACATGAGTTCTAGGCTTGCATTTTCAATATGCACCTTCTGTTCACCCAATCGACCCAGAGCTGCTTTGCTGAGTGTGTTCGATCAAAGGAAAAGGCCCTCAACAGACACCGCTGCTAGGACTGCGCCTGGAACTGCATTGAGAACTCTCCGACCCCCTCCCTTCCTTCTCTCCTTCTCGGCCGCCAAAGGAAGCGGAGTGGGTGGACCCAAGTGACTTCTGGGAGAAGCTGCAAAGAAGCCGCGTGAGAGATGTACAGGGGCTCGGGCCCCAGGTTCCCGTCCACCAGGGAGTGTGCGTGGTTTTCTTCTCTCACTCAGAGAGAATCTTTTCAAACCCACATCCTAGTGAAGGCCAACTAGAAGTGAGTATGTGAGTGATGGACAAGCACCGTTTAAACAGAAGCCAAGAGATATGGGAGATGCTGTCCCAGGAACGGAGGCCCTACACGTTCGGTCTGACTTGAGCCATTTCTGAAGTTACCACCAGATCTGTGAACACAGATTTTTCTGGGGAAAAAAGGAAACTGCCCCTGCATCACTCATTTGAAATCTAGCCTCAAGCAAGATAAGGGAAAGGAGATGTGTCTTCCTATGAAAGTGCAACTGGAACAGAAAATTCTCCCACTTGATTATGGTATAATCGAAACCCAAGCACAAAAATTTGTAAGTCTACAACTGTACCTCATGGTGTTTCACTAATAAAAAATTAAAAAAAAAAAGCACCAGTGTCAAATTAATTACAAACAGGAAATATTAAGTCCTGAGTTAGAAAGGATCAGAATTGCCTTCTTCCAGACTCAACTGATAACAATGAATGCACATGAGATGTTTTTTAGGCACAAAGGAAACATATGGTTTGCTTAGAGAATGTGAAGAAAATCATTTACAACACAACTTAAGTGTGGTATTGTGTGTGTTCATAGTAGGTAATTTAGATTTTTAGCCGACTAAATCCAACACTTAAAAGTTTAAATACTGCACACAAACTTGACTAAGGATATACTGTCATTTAAACTTTGCAACACCCCCCCCTCCCCCGCACAGTATATGCTTTAGTCTCTAGCATTCTTTTTGCTTGTTTGGTTCTGGGGGGGTGGGGTCATACGTAAGCGGATTTAGAGACTGTCCCATTGGTGCTGGGCACCAGGCATTGCTAGGATCTGATCTCAGGTAAGCAAAGTGTGTGCACTGGGCCTTAGGGCCATCTCCAGCAAGAACTGAAGGAAAGAATGTCTTTAAGAATTTATAACTGATGGGGGCTGGAGCGACAGTACAGTGGGTAGGGTATTTGCCTTGTACGCAGCCGACCGGATTCGATTCCCAGCATCTCATACAGTCCCCTGAGCACACCAGGAGTAATTCCTGAGTGCAAAGCTAGAAGTAACTCCTGTGCATCACCGGGTGTGACCCCCCCCCAAAAAAAAGAATTTATAACTGAGGGGTCGGGCGGGGGCTGGAGACAGCGGGCAGGGCACTTGCCCTGCACGTGCCCTATCTGGGTTCCATCCCTGGCATCTCATATGGTCCGCAAGCCCCACTAGGGATGATCCGTGAGCACAGAGCCCTGAGAACTGCTGGGGGGACCTTCCCCATTCTCCTCCCCCCACCCCCCAAAAAAGAGGCAGGAGCACATGGCTCGCATGAGGGAGGCCCCTCTTCTCTCCCCAGCACCACACGGTCCCCCCGACCAGCAGCTGCAGCACATACGGTGCCGCCCCCGGGCACCGCCACATACGGCCATCCAGCAACCCCCAAACCACACACCAACACACACAACATCATGGTCGGTAACACTATTTCTTAATGTGAAAACAAAAGTGTTTCAGACAAGATTTTACTCCACCCGACTTTTGAAATGATCCCTAAGTTTTACTTGGCTGCACTTGAAAACAAATGTGCCTTTTTGGGAGATTATTAATAGTGCTTTTACATCTATTATTTTGGATGCCCTTATTGTAATCGCGGGGTGGTGGTGCTAAGAGGCCCAGGGTGTATGCCTGGGAATCCTCCGCTCACTGGGCCTGATGGCTGAATGCCAGGGCCTGGGCGGGTGGGGGCTGGAGCCGAGCAGACCCACCCTGCAGTGCTCAGGGCCTCTGGGCACACCCAAGGGTGCTCAGAGAGGCTTGGGGGCCCGTGCGTTGCCAAGGGTGGAACCAGAATGGGCGCGCCACGCCTGTGTCTGAATCCCTGTCCTCGTTCCCCACCCAGGTCCCTCTGTCACTTCACTCAGTGGAAGATAATGCAATGAAAGACATCTTCTGTGAAATGAAAGATAATCAGATTTTTTTCAGAGATGTTAAATGGACGTGGCCCACTTCTGACAGAGCCCACACTAAATTTTAGCCTGAATTTTAGGACAGTTAAACTTCGACTTTGAGGCTTACTGGCATCATCTTTCTCTAAAGACCTAATGTCTAGTAATACCGAACCTAACAACGTTTTGCAGTTTTTCGCTGGGGCTGTCGGTGCAGGTGTGAGTGCAGTGCTCAGGCATAAGGGTGCCTGGGCATCGGGGGGAGGGAGGGCGCTGGGACCCCAGCTGGTGGTGTGGGGGATGGGACCCCAGGCCCCACCACTTGGGATCTCTCCCAGTCCAATGCCGCATGTGTAATTTTCTTTAAACTGCTTGTCTAAGCGAGGAAGTTTGAATATCGACATCACTTTAGTGATACAAAAACGAGACAAATGGTTTCGTTAATTGGCCCAGGTCAAACTCTTCACCGAGAGGGTAAATATGAGAACTTAGAACAGCTGCCTTATATTTTTTTCTTATAATCTGCTCTGCATAGTCTCATTTTTGCCATCTTTTTAAAATGACTACAGTTATAATACTAAATAGCTACATTAAGAAGCATTTAAAACTTCGCCCTCCAACAATACAACCATGCCAGAAAGACTTGACACGGGCACTTGTTGATTATGTAAGCAGAAATTAGCTCACTGTATTAGCCACGGAGAATGTTTAATCTTGCCAGGTGATCCTCACCTTAGGAAAGATATATACATACTAAGAAAACATAAGCACGCATCAGCCTCAGCAGAACATTTTGAAAACTAAAGGAAACAAAACTAAATCAAGCACATAGAGCGTACCAGGACTGACGATTCTCCTTGGACCTGATCTGAAAATGCCCTCCCCGTGAAAGGGTTGGAGAATCCCGGGTTTTAGTGAGACAGAAGGCTGGAGGCTGGGCACCATGACTTAGCAGCTCTAAGTCCATTCACTGATGCTAAGGACCCTTGTTTACAAAACAGGAAAAAAAAATCAGTCCTGCCCACCAGCCGGGGTACCAGGAAGAAAGGCTGAGACTCTGGCTTTCAGCTGGGCTTACACTGCACGGTGCTGGTTGGGGAAGTAGAAAGAACTTTAAAAAGCATTTCCAACTCTCCTCTTCCTTTTACGGCTACAGGAAGAAAGTGATGAAGAAGAGGGAAGACTCGGGGGGAAATAATCTTTCAACTCGGAAAGATCCTGAAACCATTTTTAAAAATTTACATTCCTGTTCAGAGCTCTTGGGTCAAAACTTCTCAGGAGGGCTGACGTGACGTCCTGTACATGCGCTTCAACAGAGCCAAACTCGCCCTCGACTAACCGCACAAAGAGGCAGAATAAAGGGGCCGAGTGGCAGGACAGGGACCAGGCACTTGCCCCGCACGCGGCTGACCCCGGTTCAACCCCTGGCACCATGTGTTCCGGGAGCAATGCCAAGAGTTACTCCTGAGCACAGAGCCAAGAGTAGCTCCTGAGCACTGCCGGGGGCGGCCAGACTCGCAACCCCCCCCCCCCCCCACACACACAAGACACTGATGGACACACACACACACACAGACAGAAAAGACACCGATGGATTATGGCTATCTGGGAACTTTGCATATCCATGATTTATAGAACATTATTCAAAAAACCAACCAAAAAGCCGAGGCAGGGAGGGGACCTCCATGTCTGCAGCCCTTGGTTCACCCCCCAGCACTGCAGGTACATAAACGAACACGGAAAACTAAAATGCAAACCGGTACATGAACCAACAACCAAACGCTAGAAACATTAACGTTAATTATGTCTGAGGGAATGTACTCCACCCCTTTACTAATTACTATCAGAAACTACTGAAAGAAGTCTGGAAGCCAGTGAAATACTTCTTAAATTGTAATTTCTTTATCTGGCTTCCTGGTTATTAAAGACACTCCACTTACAATAGCAAATTTCTTTTATAACTCCCTATGCTTGCATAAATATTTAACTAAAATGCTAAAAAAGAACAAATACTTTAATATACAACTTAAAACTAATTCCAAACTGAGTAGCTCAATTTGTAGGTGGAAGTGAATACTACACGGAGTGTTTTTTCCCAGCGAGGAGGCCAATTCAAAACTCTGCCACTTTATTTATCCAGGCCAAGAGAAGAAAGGCAGGAGGCGACCACGAAGCCACGTTTCCTGACATCTCGCGGGATGGCAACACACCAGCAAAGGGCAATGTCTATCCACCGTGGAATAAGAAAATCATGTCCTTTAAAAAACTCATATCCCTTATATGAAAATGAATGTTACCGTTTCATGAGTGGAAATGAGTACAGAGGCTATTTTCCAGTTATTATTCTATTATTATTTCGGGGAGACGGACCTCCCAAATGGCGCTCGGGAAGCCTGGAGGGTCCCACCAGGACTTTGCAGCGCCTGGTTCAACGAAAGAGTCACAAAAGATAAGGAGCTGTTCAGGGGCCAAGGTGCTCGGGGCATCGAGGCTGGTACCCAGCAGTGCTCAGGGGGGACCAAGTAGTACCAGAGACCGAATCTCAGTCAGGTGCATGTAAGGCATGTGCCCTAACCACTGCACTACACTTCCAGGTCCCTACAGCCTTTTTGTTTGGTTTTTGGGCCATACCCAGTCATGCTCGGGACTTACTCCTGGCTCTGTGCTCAGGGGTCACTCCTGGCAGGGTTCGAGGGACCATATGTGATGCCGGGGATCGAAACCGCGTGCCAGGCAAGTGCCTTACTCACCATACTCTCTCACAGGACCCTGAACGAGATCACTGTGTTCAAATTTCAATTGGAAATGGCATTAAGGTCCCTGAATCGAACCCGACACATTTTGCTCCATGCCTGTGCTCACATGGCAGCTAAGGAGAAGCCATTCATGAAAGGAAAGCTCTAGAATCACTCCTCGAACAGGGACGGGATGCAGAGATGGGCCCTGACGCGGAAGGGAAATGCACAGTCCCTGACAGCTATCAGGACCAGGAAACGCCTTTGACGTGAGATGAACGAGCACTTCACGGAAAAAGTCACCTCACAGAAAAATAAAGACAACAAATCTCACAATCTAAACAAATGCTCACAATCTAAACTCAGGCTCGGGGCTAGAGCAACAGTACAGCGGGTAGGGTGTTTGCCTTGCAGGCGGCTGACCTGGGTTCGATTCCCAGCATCCCATATGGTCCCCCCGAGCACCGCCAGGAGTCATTCCTGAGTGCAGAGCCAGAAGTAACCCCTGTGCATTGCTGGGTATGACCCAAAAAGCAAAAACTAAAATAAAATAAAATAAACTCAGGCTCACTCTAAACCCAAAGCGAATGATGCCAAATAGTATGAAAATGGACAGACGAACGCTGATTACCTGGTCAAGAATTCTTCCCATTCGGTCAAACAAAACTTTCAAGAAGTGGCCTTCAAAGAACGAGGCTTCTAAATTGCACTTTTCCAAAGCTTTCGGCGCCCCGGGCCATTCCCACCGCAAACAGATAGCGCAGTAGTCCCGAAACTGGGGAGAGAGAGAGAGCACCGGCACCATTAAACAGGAACAACACAAACAACCTCTCCAGCGCCCCCCAAGCCCTAGGACCCTGAGCGCCTGCACTGGGAGAGGGAGGAAAGGGAAGACTCAGACCCTGCCCTGCGGGGGGTCTGAGGAGGATCACAGTCCCTGGAGACAGCAGCGCTTGGGAAAGAGTTGCCGACTCCAACGACTCCAACGCTGTAACTACGTTACACAGCACCCTGTAACTACACTCCTGCACATCACCGGACACTTCGCCCATTATTTTCACTGCAGATTTCGAGAATGCTTAAAAAGCAACATGCAGGGCCAGAGCGACAGCACAACAGGGAGGGCATTTGCTTGCACGTGGCCGACCTGGGTTCAAACCCCAGCATCCCATATGGTGCGTAGCAATGCAGGAGTAATTCCTGAGTGCAGAGCCAGGAGTAAACCCTGAGCATTGCCAGGAATGACCCAAATAAAAGCCAAAAAAAAAAAAAAAAAAAAAAGCAAAGTCCTAGGTTTTTAACTCTTGCCTCAAATGTCCATAGAGTGGATGATGAGATAGATACACAGTGTCTGAGGAGAGCTTGGCTCTCCCGGCTGTATTTATTAGTTAATGCGACTGGGCATGTTACTGTGAGAAGGGTGGCTGGTCACTGCCGCTGCCAGGCAGGGCACTGAGGCAACCATCAGACTGGACCACCATCCTTCACAGCAGGGCATGCTAGGAGGGAGCATGCAGAAACTTCCACTGCAATTTCACTGTGTATATTTTATGTCGAGTGGTCTTTTCTCTTCTTGGCAATCATTTTGGAGGGGGAAATGGGACCACATCTGGGACCATGAGGTTCTGGGGATCACATATGGAAAGTTCCGGGACTCACATATGTAAAGCGTCTGCTCCGGCCCGCTGAGCCGGCTCCCAGCCTTCCTGTAACGCATCTCTCAGGTTTACATACTAGAAAAGTCTGGGTCTGTGACACACAGTTGAACCTTTACTGCAAACGTAACATATATGTTCTCCTATAGTAATAAAAAGTAGCACTCTTGGGGGCTGGAGCAATAGCACAGCGGGTAGGGCATTTGCCTTGCACTCGGCCAACCTGGGTTCGATTCCCAGCATCCCATAGGGTCCCCTGAGCACCTCCAGGGGTAATTCCTGAGCGCAGAGCCAGGAGTAACCCCTGTGCATTGCCAGGTGTGACCTAAAAAGAAAAAAAAGTAGCACTCTTATCCAATATGTAATTTGCTTGAATTTAAAAAAGAAAAAGCTTTAGAACTTTCTATCAAATTCTTCCTCTTTTCAGATTCTCCTTATTCAGCAAAGTAAAATTAGTTTTGACTTCTCTAGTTTGGAAGGTAAAAATCAAAACATTTTTACCACAATACACCACTTACGACTCAAAGAAAAACACATGTATCTTTTTTAAAAAAAAAAACACACTTTTTTGGGGTGGAGTAATAGTACAGCGAAGAGGGCATTTGCCTTGCACGCAGCAGACCCGGGTTCGATTCCCAGCATCCCATATCGACCCCTGAGCACTGCCAGGAGTAATTCCAGAGTGCAGAGCCAGGAGTAACCCCCGAGCATCGCCGGGTATGACCCAAAAAGGGGAGGATTAAAAAAAAAAAAAAGCAAAACCACTTCTTCAATGTATTTTGAGCTTTAAACTATTTGGCTTTCGGGAAACAATTTTCTTTATGAAGCCTTATCTCATTTTTTTAGTATAGCAGTTTAACATTAAACTTTTGAAATGCTGACTTAGAAAATAAATAATGGTTTAAACAGAGTCAGGTTTTAATAGAGGGGAAAGATGTGGGGAACCATCCCTTCCAAAACAGAAGGAGAGAAGAGCGGAAGAGGGAGAGGTGGGAAGAGGGCAGGGGGGAGGGGAAAGGGAGAGGAAGGGGGAGGGGAGGAGGGGAGAGGCAGAGCTCACCTGTGGTGGTCAGGCTGGGGAGGGAAAAGGGACCAGTCTGAGAGATGAAGCAGGGCCCTGTGCCAAGGGCTGCATTTCTCTAACGGGGCCACACACAGTGATGGGGGGGGGGGGGGGACTCTCGGGGGCAGGGGCCACTCCGTGCAGGCTGCTAGAGCCCCACCCAGCAGAGATAGGGGGTGGAAGGGAGAGAAGTGAGGGGCCGGGACAGCGGGAAGGGCCGCGTGCAGGCTGAGGCTGGGAGATGCAGGGCCTTTCCTCACCTGCCTGTGCGCGTCTCGGAGGTAGGTATCGTAACCCGTGCCCTCGACGTGGTAAGAAGACTTGGCTTCGTCAGGTACCAGACAGAGGAAGCTTGAACGCAAAACAAAGCCCCAAACCAGTCACATATTTATTTGGCTTTACGTTTCGTATCCTTCTTTTTCTGAACTAAAAAAAAATCTAGCGAGAGCCTCAGTTTAGTCAAGTGGAAAGTTGAAAAATAGAATTGGGGCCAGAGCGACAGTCCAGTGGGTGAGGCAGTTGCCTGGCACGTGGCTGACCCAGGTTCGGCCCCCCAAAGAAAGCCCCACGGGGTCCCCCGAGCTGGCCAGGAGTGATCCCTGAGCGCTGGCTGAGCCAGGAGCAGGCCCTGAGCAGCGCTGGGTGTGGCCCCCAAAGCCAAAAACACAATACAAAGAAGTTGTTCTGAAGTACTTTTCCTCAATTAATTTTGCAACTCGTAACGTCTCTTTCAAAAGAGATGTTACTGGGGCCTGCTCGAGGCAATCGACAAATAACAGGATGATGAAATGAAAATGAAATGAAATTTTGCAATTCACTGATGAAAGATTCTTTCAGTTTGATTCTGAGGGTCTATGTAAAAGCCACTCAATCCTCAAAGCAGCTGGAAACGCAGGCCAGCCCTCCTTCCTATGTCACAGCACAGCTTGTTCATATCTGAAAACTGAGTTCAAGTCCCTGAACTTAGCTAAACCGAGATTCTGCTATGCTAAAAACTAAAAACTGTTACCCGAAGAGCAAAAAAAAAAAAAAAAAAAAGAAAGAAAAGAAAAGAAAAGAAAAAGACAAGGGTCACAGGGGTGCATTTAAAAAAAAATGTTTTTAAACATTTTAAAGTTCTACACCTTTGTGCTCACTGCAGAGTATATAGGTGTATAATCAATCTGTCCAAGCTGTCACTTGAGAATTACTCAAAATTTGCACATGAAAAGTAGGATATCTGGAGGCAAGGTGGCACCATGGAGAGCATTTTAATGTTTCCATTCAGGAGGGGTTTTGGTGCGAGTGCTGCCCCTGTGTGTCATAACAAAAGTGGACAATAATCGTTAAGGAAGGAAAATGGGGGGGGGGGCTGGAGCGACAGTACAATGGGGAAGGCACTGGCCTTGCAGGCAGCTGACCCAGGCTCGATCCCCAGCTCCCCTCAAGGTCCCCTGAGCCCTGCCAGGAGTGATTCCTGAGCGCAGAGCCAGGAGTAAGTCCTGAGCACTGCTGGGTGTGACCCCCCCAAAACCAAAATAATAATAATAATACAAAAGAAGGAAAAAATGGAACTCAGATCTTTTTATTGTAACAATCTAAGAGCAGACCAATACGTTATAAAGACAAAGGGAAAGTCAGTCAAAGTGGCACAGGGACTCACCTATTCACAATTTTGTGGACTTCCGTTTTCCCGTCACTTTTGGGGTGGTCTGGAGTAGCAGGGGGTGAAGAACTAAGCCATTCTTGGTTTGACAAAGTGTTATCTGGTGAAATGTCAGTAAATAATGGGTCTTCTTCCAGATCTCTAAGTTTAATTTAATGATGTATAAAAAAACCATTTTAATATATTTTCTAAACCAGAAATATCGCTGCTCTGTTCTTAGAAAACATTAGCATCACTTTTTCTAATACGAGAATTAAAGAATAGTGTATGTTTTATAAAGAAATTTAAAGAGAGGGACACTTCCGACTAACACCACGTTTTAAGAATACGGTGGTTTTGTCGGGCTTACTGAACAAACAGGTAATTCCGCTTGTAAAATTAAATGGATGGTAATATCAAGGCCTCTCAAATTTACTTTTTAAACCCTAAAAACTGGGGAGGCTGGAAAGACAGGACGGTGGGTAAGGCATGTGCCTTGCATGTTCGATTCCTGCCACTCCCTGTGGTCATATCACCAGGAGTGACCCCTGAGCACAGAGTAAGGAGCAACCCTGAGTTACCTGAGTAACCACCTCGTGTGCCCCACCACGCCACAAAATGAATAAAAAGTAAATAAAATCCTAAAAATTAAATACTGTTTTGTATTTTTTTTCCCCTTAACAATTAAGAGAGAGGCAACAGGAAAGAGAAGCAGGACTCCCCGCGACAGCCGAGCGCAGGGAGGTCCAGGGGAACTCACACTGCTCCGGCGATCAAGCCGTTCTCCACCACATCTTTGTCTTCCGGGCACATGGGTTTATACTCGGTGTAATTTCTTTCTTCAAGATTTCTTAGGACCAGGTTGTAAAGAATGTGCTCGTTGGGTTTTTGTAAAAGATGTTCAAACATTCTTAATGTCATTATGCTTATCTGAAACCAAAAATGGAAAAAAAAAAAAAAAGGCTAGGAACAGGGGGAAAAAAATTAAAATAAAGTATTCCTGCCACCCCCTGTCTATCACGTTTTGAATTTTTTTAAAGCCACATTAAAAAGAAGCTGTATCCAAAAACAGCACCAGCATGTTAAAATCCGTATTTCCTAGAGGCTCACTCCGAGTCTAAATCACCACAACAGAGCGTACCTCATCGGATATGTGATCGCAATGTTCGATTAACCTATGTCGCAAAGGATGTCTGCTAATTTCTGCCAGCGATTCCGGTTCTCTCTGCTCTCCGAGGATGAAAAACACCGTTTCCTGCAGCAGGACATCAGAGGTCACTTGTCGAACGATGCGGTGAAGCAGAGCGGTGGACGTCAGGATTCCCATCTCTGAACTGGGCACAGCAGAGAGGAATCAGTGGGCCTGACTCACACGGAGACCGCGAACGCTTTCTCAAGAAAAGGGGCCACTCACGTTTGCATTAACTGAGGCTCCATGACGCCGATAAAAAATCTTTCGTGAACGGCTTTGGCCAGGGCAACAGCGGTGGGCTGGGACAGAATATAAGCATCATTATCTTTTCTTTTTGAAATGGGGAAAAGACCATCTGTGACCCTGGTAAACCAACACGCATGCGAATCAGCATGGAGAAGCAGCCTGGCACGTCTTGCCCACCTTGTTGAGGGCAGACAAACCTAGACTGGATGTCAGCTATGAGGCCCGTCAGATACGGGAGACGGAGAGAGTTATCTCCCTCGCCGGACGGCATCCAGGCCTCCCAAAGAGGAGAAATGGGAGAGGGGGTGTCACTGCGTAAGGCTTGTGCTACCGTATTTAAAAATCTAAACCCAGGCCTAGAAACCTTTCTCTTTTATACTCGAGTTGTCACTGATCAGTTTTAATTCATAAATTTGGGAACCCAGACCAAGGATTCCGGTTTTCTTAAATGGACAGTCGTCATTTCAAATCACACACATGCTCCAGCTAGTGACAGCAACCTCGGGGACAGTGTCTGAGCCGGATGCCGGATGTGCCACCCTACAGGACGGAGACAGCACCCCCGGCACGTGTCCCGATCTGCCCTCACGCTGTCCCCAGTCTTACACAGGTACATGGGGAGAATTTGGAAAACGCCAGCACGTGGCGGCCAGGGTCCACGCCGGCCACATCACCATGAGAACCAGCCGTACCCCCGGGCAGCACCGCCTACTCTCGGCGTTGCTCCTTCCACGCCCACCAACGAATCTCGCTTCCACTAGACAGCTGCATATATACTTATCAATCATCCCAAAGAAGAATAAAATGAGCCACACCTTTTGTGCTTCCTTGATGAGCTGATCGCAATAATCAAACCAAGAGAGAAAGGAAATTAAGGCTCGTTTCCCGGGGAACGCGGAAGCATCTTCTTTGTGGCTGTAGGAGTCCAAGCTGCGGGACACAGAAGGCGCGAGTTATCCAGAAGCACGCGCCCGCCTCGGTGCCGAGGGAGAGCCGCGAGAGCCAGAGCCGACAGTCGGGGAGGGCTTCACAAAAGGAAAAAAAGAAAAACCCAGCCCCCAACAAGCAAAAGCTCTGAAAGGAAAGGTGTCCTATGGAAAGAGAGGCCAGAAAGGAGCGAGGCGTGGGAGAAGAGGCGCAAACGGGGTTAGAGGGAGCCGACTCCCCTTCCCGTCTCAGACCACAGCAGGCGAGATGAAGGGCGCGGCCAGGTTTCGGAGTGGAAACGTTAGGTGCAAAGCACACAGCAAGGAGCCGGGGAGAGAGCTCAGAGCGTGCCACGCAAAAGTCTCACACGCGGCAGTCCCGAGTTCAAGCCCCTGTCCCCTCTGGCCCCAGATGTGCTCCTGGTGGCCTCCAGCCCAGCCTGGATGCAGGGGACATGCACTGGACTGTCAAGCCCAGCAGAGCCAGGGAAATATCTCCAAGGGTGGGCCCCGGCCTCCTCTGTCCAGTCAGGGAGGCCTCCATCAAAAACAAGATCAAATCAAACCTCAGAAGAAAAAAAAAAAATGACAGACCACCGTGTCAAAACAGCAGCGAGCTTCTTAGCAATGGGGTGACGGGTAACTTTCTTTATGCTACTCTGTGTTTCTGTAGCAAGAGAAGTGCTCTGCAATAGTATCATCCTCACAAAGCAGGTGATCACCTCCCCCTACGCCCACCCCAGCCTGCCCCTTTCTGGGTGTCAAAAATAATCACACACAGTCATTGGCTTTGGGGCTGGAGACATAGTACGGCAGCTAGGGAGCTTGCACCGCACACAGCAGACCTGGCTTTGATCTACAGTACCCACAGGGTCCCCTGAGCACGGCAGGGAGGGATCCCTGAGCATGGAGCCGGGAGTAAGTCCTGAGCACTGCAGGGGGTGGCCCAAACTGAGAGATAAAATGATTGGCCTGAACGTAAACCCCTTGAAAAAGAACACTCTAGAGGCCAGCGGGAAACAGCGTCCAAGCCAGACTGTCCCTAGTGCCTTCCTCCCGCAGGATGGAGGTTCAAACACCCATCTCACGACCACTCACCACGTGCCCGCTGTCAGGCAGGAGGGTCTTACTGGGGCGGAACAGGCTTGAGATGTGTGGGCTGCGGGTGTGGGGAGATGCCCCAAGTCCCATCCTGGCCCGGGGGGATCCCAGCCCCGGTGCAAGGCTGGACGCGGCAGCTTACCCCCAGTTGATGGCTTCCACGGTCTCGATGTCCAGTGGGTCGATGGCTGGCGGCAGGGCCCGGTAGAGGGTGGCCAGACGGTCGGTGAGCAGCTCACACAGGCAGGTGCTCTGGGTCAGGCACCTGGCGGCCGCCGGCTCGGGCAGGCTCACCAGCAGCATCAGGCCCTCGCAGGCCTTCACGGCGATGCGGCCGTCCTGGAGGAGCGTCCTGGGGTCAGCCCCGATCCCCACCCAGCCCCGCCCCCCCACCCTCTCCCGGGCAGAGACTCACGGGGCTCCTGGTAAGGTTGAGCAGAGAATTCACTAGGTTGTAGTCCTGGCTGGGCCGTACCACTGAGGCCTCGGGCAGCGAGAGGACGTGCAGCTGCTCCAGGCTGTCCGACAGCTCCTCCGGCGTCTCCTCGGCCTCCGGCTGCGGGGTGCCGGCCGGCTCCTCAGCCGGGCAGTCAGGGCCCTGCCCCGGGGCTTCTGGAACGATGCCCGGTGCGCCCCGGGACGCCGAGGACCTCAGCTTACTCTGGAAAGGAATTCGGGTTCTCTGAGTCTCCCCGTTTTCACAGGTTCTTCTAGAACTAAAGGGCCCGTGTGGCAGCGGGAACACCAGCACCGCCGTGTGGCGTCTTTCTGGGAGGACGCTTTCTCAGAGACCCTTCCCTGCGTTTCCTCCTGCAGCGGCTCTGGAACAAGTGGCCACTACTCTGCGGTGCTTTTTAACTGCTTCCCAGGATAAATCCCAAGGTGCTGGGAACACCAGCCCCGCCCCAGCCCGCCTGCCCCACAAAGAACAGAGATGCTAAGAGGACCATAGTCCAAGGAAGGCACAAAAGTCTTATTTTCCATTTGAATGAAAGAGTGGAAGTCAAATCTGGGGGCTAAAGAGAGAGCGGCAAGGCCAGCAAGGCCCCCCTCCCCGCACCTGGATCAAGCCCTGAGCACAGTGGGGGGAGGGGGGAGAGGTGTTAGGGAGTCCAGGGAACAAAGGACAGCCAGACTGCACCCCAAGTCAGGATGTGTGGGAGGGAGCCCAGCCCCTCCCCAGTGCACTCCATCACAGGAGATCCTTAAATCTCAGAGCCCAAGGCAGCTCTTAAATAAAAAAGCACGCACCGCTGCTCACGGGACTCTCCCCTGGGCCCCATGAATCACTTATTGCTGATATAGACCGCTTAGACCAGCCTTCGTCAACCAAGGGACATTACAGTTCCCTGTGATCCTCCAAGATACTCCATGGGGCCACAGGTGAAAATCTCCTATGTGGGGGGTGGAGGACAACCAGAAGGGCAGGGACAAGATGCAAAAGGGGACAGGGTCGGGAGACGGCTGACAAACACTGGTTTAGACCAATCTTTCCCAGGTTTCTGGGGAACTGTGCGAGCTTGAAGAGCTAGAGTTGGTGCCCAGCATGGGAAAGGCCGAGGGTCCGCCCCTGGCGCCGTGGGCACAACCACCAGCACTTAGCGGGAAGAGCCTAACAACATGACCCCTAAACAAAAACAAGCAGAAATCAGATTCCTTTCCCCCACCCCACCCCACCCCACCCCCAACACACACACACACACACACACACACACACACACACACACACACACACACTTCATCACACTGAATGAGAATATCTGGTGCAGGGTCAAGTGGTTCTCGTGTTGAAACATTCCATTGCAATAAGGAATCGCAACTTTCTCTGGTGTTTGCTGGGACAGCTCTGTGAGACACAGCACTCCCCAGATCTCTTCCACCCAGCCCCGTTCCCAAATCACAGATCCGCAATCCCAAGCACCGGCTCAGGACTCCTGGTAGGATGTCAGAAAGACTCCAACCGTCTGGAGCTGCTAAAAGCAACATCTCCGGGGGCGCCCTCCTCGCCGCCAGCAGTAAGCGCGCCCTTCAGAGATGGAGCACAATGCTTCTTTCTCCTGCGTTCCGCTCAGACCAGATGGGATGCACCCGTGTCCACGGCGCTCCCAGCCCTGCTCGCGCTGCCGGCTGCCCCTCTGGGCCACTCCATCCGCTCCCTGCTTGTCTTTCTACCCTCAAAGGAATCCACAAAACAAGACGCAGCCACCAGTTGAATTTCTGATGACACACAGACCATGACACACCGACTTCCTTGCTCAAAACTCTTCAAAGGCTCTGCAGGGGCTGTAAGGGAAACAGACTCTTGGCCAAAACTTGGCCGACTCCTGCTCTCACCTGCCCGGGCCCTTCTTGGCCCAGGCTCCCCAATGATGACCTTGAGCCACAACTCTTTCCGAGCTTCCTTCCTTTCTCACCCATTCTTAGGCAAATATGTGTCAAGGAACCTTCCCAAGAAAGCCTCTTCCGTGATGACCCACACAGCAGAGGCTGCCTCTTCATCCTCTGAACACTGTTCAGGCACGAACTTTGCACCTTGCCCTTCTTCATCGCCCATATCTGAGCATTCCTCATAACCTCATCTCCAGAGTACAGACTCCTGGAAGGGCAAAGACAAGGTGCTAACTCACTCACCACGTGTTACTTCCCTCACAGCTCATACAGGAATGAATGGATCTAAGAGAACGACCCCATAGAACTGCAAGGGATCTGTGTCACACTTGTACTTAGGAGACATAGATGCGCTGAACGAAGATGCGTTCATTCACTCTGTACGTGTTAACTGAGCAGTTATTATGCACTCTGCCGGATAACAGAGATACTGCAGGGACCCAAAGATTAATGAGCTAGAGTCTTTGCCCTTGAGACGTTCGTGAAAAGCAGGAGAAAATAAAATGTGTTGAAATATCGGGCCTGAAACATAATTCGGCGTGTTGGGTTCGATCCCCAGCATCCCATATGGTTTCCAGAGCCCAGCAGGAGGGACCCCTGAGTGAGGAGATAGGAGTAAGCCCAGAGAACTACTTTATAAAATAAAATTAAAAAAAAAAATAGAAGTCCCCTGAGCTTATTGGGAGTGAGGCCTGACAGCGCAGGGCCAGGAGTAAACCATGAGCACAGCTGGGCGTGGTACAAAAGCAAACAAATGACACAGAAAACAAAGGCACCTATGAAATAACTAAGAAACAATTTTAAAACAAAACACAACAAAATCCTGTCAACAAGACCAACAATGACGAGGACCGGGAACAATGGGGAACTTCCCCACAGTGCCAGAGGGAGCCAGACGGATGAGCCCATCTCGGCTGTTTCTCAGGAAAAGAAATACACGCAGGACCCGGCAATCACACACCCAGCCCCGTACCCAAGTGAACTAGAAACCCGCGTCCACCCGAGCGGGATTCACAGCGGGTCCTTTCACCGCTTGGGATCCAAACCGGAAGTGGCCCTCAACATCCCAGACTGGCCAAGAGATGAAGCCCCTGGGACACCACCCAGGACAGGGCTCCTCACCAACCCAGGGCCCGACCCAAAAGGCAAGGGACACGGTAAGTGACGGGGCACTGGACATGTTGAATGTGGGCAATGGGGACACACTGGTGCTTGTCAAACTCAGAAGAGCAGACCCCAAAGAATGAACCAACTACAATGGACCCTAGGCAGCTCTGTGTGTGTGTGTGTGTGTGTGTGTGTGTGTGTGTGTGGTTTTGAGCACACCAGTGGCGCTTTAAGGGCTATTTCTGGCTCTGCACTAAGGGATGATTCCCGCAGTGCTCAGGGACCATGTGAGTTACCAGGAATCAAACTACAAGTGACTTATCCCCTGAACCATCTCTCTGGTCCCAAAACAAAAAGATTTTTTTTTTTAAATAAAACCGGAAAATAACACGATGAAGTTATTATTATTTTTTAAACATTCCTTCATTGCTATGGAGTGAAGAGTGTACAACAATGATGGAGGGAGAAGGAAGAACTGGGAGGAAGGAAGGGATGGGATGAGGGGGAGGGACGAGGAGGAGACCATGAAGCAGACACCAAGTTGGCTTGGGGGCTTGGGACGGTTAACTAGTGGAGCTCAGGGATCACTACTGGTGGTACCGGGGGTCGGACCCAGGTCTCCTTTGTGCATGGAGATGTTCTTACATATCATACTATTTTCAGTCCCCAAATACTACTTAAACTGGAAGTCAAGTCTAAACTGTCAACGGGTTCAGATAACTCATGGCTGGTGGCAATGGCTGAACTACATCAACTGCCCCTGAAGATGCAGAGGCAGACTGCGCTCGACCTCCCTCCTGCAGGAGAGGCTCAGCTCCATGCTGTGAGAATCATTCTCTCGGGACAGTTCAACTTAAAAGACAACAGGGAACAACAGCTGCTGCTGGCATTGTGTACCTGAAGCGCACAGGGTCTACATAAAAATTCAATTAAAAGGAAAACGAGCTCTCTGATATATACCGTACATAGACGTAATTCATGCCTTCCAACACGACTCACAGAATTAGTTTCCGTGATATTTTTAACATCAGTGTAACGCTGGAAGCTGACAGACATGTACCGTACCTCCAGAAAAAAATTAACCAGGTAGGGATCTTGCTTCAGCTTCGCACACACGATACAGAGAAACTGAATTTCTTCATTTTCCGTTGGTGTTGCAAGGACTTCACCGCAGAGCCGAATCAATTTCTGTACAAAAAAAAAGTCTTTAATTTTAAACTTAACTAACAGTACGCATATAATAGCCAATCCTCTACCTTAAAGATATTTAAATTTTCAAGTAATGCAAATACTTTTTATCCAGACAGAACACGATAATGGCCTATACAAAAATTAAATGACTAGAAATACATTTTTCAAATATGTTGCCTTAAAATGCTTAGAAGTTGCCTAAGACCCCCTCCTTTAGAAAGTCCCAAAGATAAAGGAAAACCTCATGTCTTAGCATTTTTAAAGAGAACTATAGAGATAAGAAGAGCACAGAGCATAGTGCCACGCCGAGAGGAAGCTGAAGTACTTGCTCATGTGCATGAGAAAGTTTAGGATCACTTCCTTTACGGTCTTCACTCTCGGGACAGCGTGTGACCGCATTTCCACCCCGAAACAAAAGCCTGAGCGCACAGAGGGCGACCCCACACACCTGCACGGGCCGGTGCACGTTGATGTGCGGGAGCAGCGGCTGCCGGATGCGTCCCAGGAGCTTCGTGTAGAAGACCAGCACCTGCTGCTTCATCCCCGGGGGACACTGCGGGCACAACAACACGGAGGCTGAGTCAGTGTGTGAAAAGGGCACATGCTGCATGAGGGAGTGCTCCCCCCAACCCTGCATGAAGGAGTGCTCCCCGCTAACCCTGCATGAGGGAGTGCTCCCCTCTAACCCTACATGAGGGAGTGCTCCCCCTAACTCTGCATGAGGACGTGCTCCCCCCAACCCTACATGAGGAAGTGCTCCCCTCTAACCCTACACGAGGGAGTGCTCCCCCAACCCTGCATGAGGGCATGCTCCTCTCTAACCCTGCATGAGTGCTCCTGCCTGGCCATGCAGGGAGTGCTCCCACCTAACCCTGCATGAGGGAGTGCTCCCACCTAACCCTGCATGAGGGAGTGCTCCCCCTCTAACCCTGCATGAGGGAGTGCTCCCATCCAACCCTGCATGAATGCATGTTTCCCCCTAACCCTGCATGAGGGCGTGTTCCCCCTCTAACCCTACATAAGGGATTGCTCCCACCTAGCCCTGCACGAGGGAGTGCTCCCACCGAACCCTGCATGAGGGGGTGGGTGCTCCTACCTAGCCCTGCATGAGGGGGTTCTCCCCCAACCGTGCGTGAGGGAGTGCTCCCCTCTACACTCTGTCCGAACGAGATTTTTCTTTGCGCTGGGCACACCCGGCACTGCCAAGAGCTCTTTTCAGCTCTATGCCTGGGTTTCGAAACTGGGTCTCTGGCATGAAAAGTATGTGCTCAGCCCATGGAGTTATCTCCACGGCTCATCATAAATTTTTATTTACTTTACTTTACTTTTTATTAAATCACCATGCTTTGTCCATCACAAAGCGAATTATTCATGATCAGGTTTCAGTCATATAGTGTTCCAACACGCATCCCTCCACCAGTGTCATTTCCCAGCACCAGTGTCCCCAAGTTCCCTCCCACCAGCTCCCAACTCCCCGTCTCCTCTCCCCCAGCCTGCCTCTATGGCAGCGCTTTTCTTGGCCCCTCCCTCCCTCCTTCTCTTTTCTCCTTTTCCTTCCCTCCTTTTGGGCACTGTAGTCTGTAATACAGATACTGGAAGGTTATCGCGCATATCCCTTTACCTACTTTCAATACCCATTTCTTATCCAGCATGGTCATTTCCAAATATTATTGTCATACCGGTCCCTTCTCTGTCTTACCTACCCTCTGCCCCAAATGAACTTGAGGTAGATTCCAGCCACTGACCATTCCTCCTGGTTCTTGGTTTCCTTGGCCTTGGATATTAGTCTATTACTATTTACACACACACACACACACACACACACACACACACACACACACACATACACATACACACACACACACTCTCTACACAAATCAATGCGGTCAAAATGAAATTCTTAACTAAGTATTAATGACCGGCACTAGAGAAATAAAGTCACATCTGAAAAGAAACGTGGTTTGAGGGATTCAAGTGACATCAAGCTGCTTCTGTTCTAAATGCCTGGGTAACAGGAAATGATTACAGCTAACACTGCTCAGGTCAAAGGCAGAACTTTCTTTCTTAGCCTAAAGGCACGTAGTCAGTAATATAGTATCACCTGTGAAAATAAATGAAGGCTTCTAACATGTATGCACATTTTTAAAAAGCAATCTTATGGTATAAACTGATGCCACTGACTTCAATGATACTGTTTTCAATTACTTGCAAAATCATTTACATTATTATAGGCAAAGAATATGTTTCCATGGCATGCTTATTGTTTTCAGTATTTTCTGAAAATACATGGTTTATATAGATATATGGTTACTCACATGAGTGAGTGGATAAAAGAATATGAATTAGAAGGAATAAAAGGAAGTATGAATTAGCAAGGTTAAAGCTCTATAATTAATCTGTTTATACTGCCTCACACTTAAAATAGTCATGAAATGAATACTCCAAAGCATCATCGTAGATATGCTATCTGGCAATGTATAACAATAATTAAAAGCACAGTGCTGCTAAGATAGCAAATATTTTCCATTACTCAGATAAATTAATATTTATAATCATTCATTTCAAAATGGATACAATTTTGATATTGTGCTAGTACGATTATAAAGTAAAAAAGTCAAATTATCAAGTTCAAAAGCCAGTTTGTATTCAATTTAGTGATGTATTAAACCCTTTCTCCAAAGGAAAGGAAAAGGAAGAAGGAACCACAGGGTATTAAGATATGTTGCCTAGGAAATAAAAAAGGAATTAATTTTATTTAAAAATAAATCAGAGCCTTACAGATTTAAGTAGAAGAAAATTCTCTTCAAGATTCACTATTCAGGGGCCAAGAATGTAACCCAGTGGTGGGATAAATATGCTCTGCACAGTGAGGTTCTGGTTCAAGCCCAACACCACACACAACACACACACACACACACACACACACACACACACACACACACACACACACACTCCCCTGTTCCTGAGGCTGATATTCAAACATATCTATTCATTCCGGTCTTTTCTAAATTGTACAACGCATGTCGCTCGCTCGAGTAAATCGATGAACAATAGGGTGACAGTGATGACAGTGTTGCATACTATATATATTTTGCAAAAGTTTCTCAAGACTCCTTAGGCCTACAAATTTCCTTTTTCCTCCATGTTTCAATAGAGCTAATAATATTAAAATAGTCAATGAGATGCACTTTAAAATTAAGACAAATAATTCCTATCTTCATCACCCAGTTTTCAGTGGGCTCCTTCTTGTTTCCTTGGAATCTGGGCCCAGGTACCTGGTGCTCCTTTTCACACATGCTTCCTGGGTACTTTAAAGCAGCCTAGCAGGGCTGGGAGCTCCGCTCTCTCTGCAGAGGCTCACTGGGATAGGCGACCCGTCTTTCTTTCCCAGCTCAGACTCAAACCCTGCACGTTGAAGACCCCCCGCTATGACTCAACATAGTGCCCGGAAACTGCTTTACCTTCTGACGTGACCACATATGTGACAAACAGAGGGGACATGACATGACACAGGTGGGAAACTTACATCAGCCTTCCCCAAGGTATATAACGTTTCCAAGATCTTGTGATGAAGCAGATACTCCATACACGGCCCCGTCTCTCCAGACTCCCGTTCATTTTCTTCTTGTACCAATATATCTAACATCTGTTCCAGATGAGATGGGATATTTGTGTCGGTCACTGGGGCTTTATCATCTAAACAATAAAAATAAAAAATTATCAAACCAACATTCAAACATTTTCATTTTTAATAAGTCATTTTTTGTTTTGAAGGCTACCCCCGGAAGTGTTCAGGGGTTACTCCTGGCTCTGCACTCAGAAATTACTCCTGGTATGCAGGGGACGATATGGGATGCCAGGGATGGAACGCGTGCAAGGCAAATGCACTACCTGTTATACTACTGCTCTGGCCCCAAAACAACAGCCTACAGCCCCCAGTACTCCCAGGTGGTCTCCTATCCAAGTATTATCCAGGTCCAACCCAGCTTAGCTTCCGAGATCAGACAAGATTCGTTGCTTCACAGAGGTACAGCCGTAGACTTATTTATAAATGGTGTATTTGTACCCGCTGTACACTCTACCTATTCAGACTGCAATGAACTTAACCCTCAGGACCTAATTATACTTGCTAGAATTCAGATGATGCTTTTTGCCATATTCTTATTTTAAAAAGTCCATTAATGTCCTGAAATAAATTCATTAAGTGGATATTTATGTATGACAATTCAGAAGTCACTTCCATGGGGAATGGAAACATTATCAGGAAAATATATTAAAAATATCAGAATGTTGCACGGAATTCTTTTTAAGTTATTTTTTATCAGGAGGCAGAGAGAGAAGAGTTGCAGGGCATTTACCAAGCATGAGGCCAACCAGGGTACAAACATCATATTTGCTCCACCCCCCAACTCCAGCCCTTCTCAATCATTTAATCCATCAATCCTTACAGCGCAGGGTTAAACTGATCTTTAAACATGTAAACATTTATGGAACGTTTAAATACAAGACAAATTCAGCAACCCAAGTTCTTACATCTCTGTTGCCATTACCTTGGTTTGCCTATGTCTCTACAACACTATCCCAGTTGCTCTGGACCCGAGATGTCACAGCGTACATAAGGGTACACTATGGATGCAGAGAGTAAACTGAACTACTTATAGAGAAAGCCAGAGAAAGAGAAGGGACATTCTAAAAGCCTCAATTAAAAAAGGGTCCCACTCATTTCCCAGACAACGGTAGCACGGTCGAATGGTCCTCCCGTTGTTCATCGATTTGCTCGAGCGGGCCCAGTAACATCTCCAATGTGAGACTTGTTTTTACTGTGTTTGGCATATCGAATACGTCACGGGCAGCTTGCCAGGCTTTGCCGTGCAGGCAAGATACTCTCTCGGTAGCTTGCTGGGCTCTCCAAGAGGGGCGGAGCAATCGAACCCAGGTCGGCCAAGTAGGTCGTGTACAAGGCAAACACCCTACCCACTGTGCTATCACTCAGAGAACATACAGGTTAAATTGAGTATACGTGGCAGGTGTGAAGCACCTGGGAACTGAAATGAGAAACCTGGATTCAAATCTCCACCCACGCACTTTGTCTGGACAGGCGAGAGCATCCAGCCTCAGTGCCCCCTCACCAGGAAATGCAGCGATTCAACCCCTGCCTGTGACACGTGACTTCAATGAAACCACAAGTCAAAGCCCAGTGTCGTGGTTGGATGAACAGTTAACGTGACAGTTCATTTCGCAGTCTTCTGAAATGACTAGCCTGGTGTTAATAAAAGGCCATTTGTAAGATCGCTTGAAATTTAATTTTGAAATATTTTCCCCCTGTAATTGCAGGCTCGGTATCTACGTTCATTGTTGAGCGTGCTGTGATGACAGTAACTAAAGAAATGATCAGAAAGGCTTATTAAACTGAGAAATAAACTATAGGGATTTAACATACTAGCTCCCTAGACAACAAGACCCATTTCTCCAGTCCACGCTCCTGGCTCCTAAGCCATGTCTAGGTCCCTGCGCCTCTGCCAGTGCTCCTTTTCTATTCAGTACATTTCTCTCTCCTCTTTCTCACCCTCTCCAGTCTTTAAAGTCAAGGTCAGGGCCCGCCGCTGCCCGCAGCTCCAAGGGCTGTAGGGGATGTTTTGCACACAGAAGCCCTGGGTTTGGGCCCCTGGCCGCGCCCGAAGGGGCCTCCCAGCACTAAGCCCAGAGAGGCAGCAGGGTTCCTCCTCAGCCGACCACTGCCTCCTCGAGGCTTTTCTTTCTATCTGTGTCATCACTAGGTCCCCAAAGAGCCTTGAAGCAAGAACTGGATCCTGCCCTGCAGGGGAAGACTCAAAATATTCATCTGAAAAGGCAGCGCCTCTCAAAAATTATTTCTGTCCAGCTGCTACCTAAATACCCAAATACAGTGAGAAATGATGTTACACATTTAAAGAGACATATTATTCTTGAAATATATAAATTTCAGTGTGTGGCAGGGTGATGTATTTATCACTGCACGTGTATCATATATGTGTATGTGCATACATAAGTGTGCATATATGTGTATATAAACATGCATATGTGTGTATATGTATATATATGCACATATATGCAGTCTGATTCTGACTTACTGAATTAGCAATTATATTTTAAAAAATACAATCCAGGGCCAGAGACAGTGACAAGAGCAAACGTGTGTGCGTGCAGTGGGACCCGGTTCAATCTCTAGCCCCACAAGGTCCCCCGAAGACTGCCTGAGTGACCCCAAACACAGGGTCCAGAGAAGCCCCTGAGCACAGCTAGGAGTAGGCCCCAAATCCCAATAAAAATAAGAATTTAAAAATAAAATCCCGAGGGGCTGGAGAGATAGCACAGCAGGTAGGGCGTTTGCCTTGCACGTGGCCAACCCTGGTTCAATTCCCAGCATCCCATATGGTCCCCTGAGCACCGCCAGGGGTAATTCCTGAGTGCAAAGCCAGGAGTAAACTCTGTGCTTTGCCGGGTATGGCCCAAAAAACAAAAACAAAACAAACAAACAAAAAAATCCCAAGACCGATTGATTCCCTGGCCCCATTCCGTGTGCTGTGCCTTCTGGTATACAGCTAGGGTCTCCGTCGCACCCCCACCCTGACCCCCACTATTCTAGCCCCCATTCACAGCGGCCAACCCAGCTCTGCCATCTGCTTTCTAAATAAAGTTGCACTGAAAAAAAATTAATTCTGGTTCTCTTTCAGGTGTTGATGACCGTTCACGGGTTATAAGGAGAACGGGGAAGCCGCAAAGGGGCTGCAGGGCTGAGCCCCTGGAATAGCCACAGCCTGGCCCTTTCCTGCCTCATTCATTCACAGACTCTGCCTGGAGGTTGTCCCCAGCGGTGCTCAGGGGACCAGGTGGAGGCAGGGATCTCCCGGCCCTAGGCGCTGCTCTTTCGTCAAGTCTGCCTCGCCTTCTTCCACTTCACAAGAGTCCTTCTGCATGAGCACTGCTCAAGGAGGCAACTCGGCCGCAAGTGGGGCTCGGCAGGAGACTATCCGCCCCACGTGTGGGAGGCCCTGGGTTCGATCCCCAGCACTGTCCACGGGAAGACTGAGTGACGCCTATCCCCAACGCCCATTCAGGGCCTCTGCTTGCTTCCTCCTAGAGCTATTCCAAGCAGGGCCTCAGACGGTGTCACAGGCTGAGGATTTTGCATGTGAGAGGCCTCGGTTCATCCCCAGTACCACCCGGGACCCTGAGCACTGCCAGGAGCAACCCTCTGGTCCAGAGCTATGCTTGACTGCGTTCCGTTGAGAGCAACCACAGAAAGCCATTCCAATCAGCTCTCCTCTCACTGCCTGGCCATTGCTGTGACCCTCGACAAAAAGGACTAACCCAGCTACGTCCAGCAACCCACACCAATCACTGCGCATCTGACGGCAGCAGCACCGAGCCCCTCTCCTGGCTCCTGGGACACGGTTCCCTCACGGCTGCTTTCGACCTCACTGGGAACAAGCTGTGTTGCCTTTGCCTTCCACAGATTTCATTTTCCCAATCTCTGAACGTTCACTGAACATCAAAGCCGGAGTTCCAAAGTCCAATCTCTCCGCAGCAGCCCGAGTTCAGTGCCCGGACACGTCTCTCTCTGACTGCCCTTATTCCCGAGCTGAACTCATCAGCCTCACAGCCTTAAATCCCATTACATGGGGCCGACTCTCAATTCCACAGGTCTTATTTCAACCCGGACTTCAATATTCGACTGTATATCTGAGATATCCAATTGGAGTGGACATTTCAAACTTAACACGCCCCAATAATATCCTTTTTTTGGGTGGTGGCTGGGGACGGGGAGGGGGGGGGAGAGGGAATGACACACCCAGCAGTGCTCAAGGGCAAGTCCTGGCAGTACCAGGGACTGACCCGGGGTCAGCTCCATGCAAGGCAGGGCACCTTATCCTAGGCTATCTCTCCAACTGCCCAAAGGCTTTTACAGTCTCTTCCGTAAGTGACCTTTTAAATTTTCCCAACTATCTAAACTCAAAGCTTCAGATAGGTCTTTAGCTCATATTCTTTAAAAAAAAAAATTTTTTTTTTGCTTTATTCTGGGGGGGTAGGGGGGAGATGGAGGGAGAGTCACACCCAACAATGCAGAGATTATTCCTGGCTCTGCTCTCAGGAATCACTCCTGGCGGTGCTCAGGGGACCATATGGGATGCTGGGAATCGAACCCGGGTCGGCCACGTGCAAGGCAAATACCCTCCCTGCTGTGCTATCACTCCAACCCCTTTAGTTCATGTTCTCACTGTACTAAGGAATCACTCCTGGCGGAGTCACACATGGGAGGCGGGGACCGAACTCAGGTCGGCCACGTGCAAAGCAAATTACTTACCCAACGTACTTGGCCGTCTTGTCTCATACCCAGCCCATCATCAAAGCTCCCTTCAAAACAAACCAGCGAGCAATCCCTCCCTGCCCCCCTAGCCCTGTCCTGAACTTTCCCACTGGCTTCAGCTGGGCTCCCTTCCATCTAACCTCTGCCCACTGGAGCCAGAGGGACTCCGGTTACAAGAGATCACGTGACGCTTCCTAAGGCTCCCTGGCCAGGCCCCGGGAGTGAGCCACTGCGCGCTGGCCCGGGTCACCCACCCTGATTCTGGGTCACCGAGCTCCCGCCAGGCCCTGGAACAGGGGTCACCGCCTCAGGGCCTGGCACAGGGTCCACTTCCTGAGACACTCAGGCCCCGAAAGTGCGCTTCCTCTCTCTGAGAGCTGCGACCCAGAAGTCACTGGGTCGGTGAGGCCTTGTCTGACCTGAAAGGTCACAGCCCTGCGGGCTCCAAGCCCATGTGCTCCGTCTAAGCAGCATTTCACACACAAAGATTTGTCCGCCCCCCTCCCCCACACACCCAGTAGGACAGGAATTTGGCCTGTGTGACAGCTCTGTCCCCAGTGCCCCCGAGCAATGCCTACACATGACAGGTGTTTGGGATTGAGGGGGCCGAAGGTGACCTGGGTCACTCCCAGTGGTGCTCAGGCCTAACGCCTGGCTCTGTTCTGTGCCCAGGGATCACATCTGGTGGGGCTGGAACCCGGGTCCGTTAAGTGCCCGACCCCCCTGTACTAGCCCTCTGGCCCACAGCGGTGGTTTTGATGACTCTCAAAGAGGAGCTCAAAGTAAAACTGTTTATGAATGCAAGTGAAAATGACTACAAACTATCAGGAACACTTTTTAGGATGTCAGAGATTCTGCTGACTCGGCGCCAGCGTGGCTCTCACCTGAAGTCTCGATGTAGTAATGGGTGATCGCCTTCCAGTGGTAAACAAAATCTTCTTGTAAAGGAAGAGAAGGCGCAAGCTACAAAGACACAAAAAAGACAGGACACAAAAAAATTAAGAAAATGGCATTTTCTTAAACAGTGTCCCCCCTCACCCCAGCCCCCAAGTCTTAATTGGTGTTTGTCCACTAATGAATGATACAGAAACGGACAGAAAATATGGTGACTTTCAAGCTGATTCCACGCGTCAGATTATCAAAGAGAAACAAAATGAGTGAAATCCCAGAGAGCAAACAGGATTTATTGACAGGGCAAACAATATTGACAAAAAAATTGTCTGTCAGCAATGCTTATTAAACCACCATATTAGCTTCTTCCTCCTCCCCTGAAACTTGTTTTCAAACATAAGAGCATTAAAAATGCAACACCCTATTACTAAAGGATCAGTAAAATGAAATTATCAATAACCAGGGATCTTTGTACCTAGGAGTTTGAAATGCTACAGGGTGCCGCTCTGTAATTAGTTACACATCACCAGCACGGGTTCAGACACCAAAGTCAACCTATAATCAGATGAAAACTGTCCCTTACTTTCAGTACCATACAGCTATAGAAAACTATATTTTTTTTAAAGACTAGGTAAGGGAGAGCATTTTTTTTTCTGGAACAACTACATGACTGAGAAACTACCAATTTAAATTCCACAGTCAAAAATGTCCTAGAGGGGCTGGAGCGATAGCACAGCAGGTAGGGCATTTGCCTTGCACGCGGCCAACCTGGGTTCGATTCCCAATATCCCATATGGTCCCCCGAGCACTGCCAGGAGTAATTCCTGAGTGCATGAGCCAGGAGTAATCCCTGTGCATTGCCAGGTGTGACACCCCCCCCCAAAAAAAGTCCTAGGGTTCAGCCCGGTCTCTGCCCAGTGAGGGGGTCTGGGAGTGGTAGGGATGGGTCAGCGGTGCAGGGGACCGAGCAAAGCCAGGCCTGTCCCCAGCCCTTCCAGCCAACTTCAGGGCGTGCTGCCCGCCTCAACCCCCAAACCCTCTTCCAAATTTTAAGACCAAAGCGACATCTTTTCAAGTCTTCGCCTCACAACCGGGAAACTTACAAGGGTTTCAGATGTGTATTAAAAGGTCTGAAAACACCTGGCTGTACCTTTCTGGACGCATTCTTTTCCTCGACAATGAGTGAGGAGGAGAGAAGGCGCCCCCTGGTCCCCTCCGCCAGCTCAGAATGCGCAGGGCTGCCCCAGCTAACTTCAGAACAAACAGGCTTCTATTCCGGCAACCCAAGCCGTGGCGGGCTCTGTCACCTTCCATGCTCACCAAGAGGTCGGGGCACCCCTTGACTTCTGGGTGTCCCCAACAGGGACCTCAACGTTCAAACCCAAACAGCGTCAAACTAGCGAGCTGATTTCAGGAACATGGGCCCCTGACATCCAAAGCGTTTTTCAACCCAGCTGAAAGACACGGAGAGAAAACGTGGGTTGTGATGCCCGCTGGCTGGCTCTTGCCAATCACCCCACTCCGCAGAGCACAGCACGGGATGAAGAGCACCTACGAAGCCGTCTCCTTCACAAACAGAATGGGAGTTGACTTTTTAAATGACTTTCATGAGCTTTGTCAAAGATCTTTAAAAACAACCACAGACCTCTGGATGGTTCCTCTTCAGGGAGAACCCGGAGTAGAAACCAGGGAGAGAGCATCCGCTGTCTCTGCAGCGGGATCCTCAGGTTTAATTTACCAGCACTGACAGGAGCGAGCCCCCACCTGGGGGTATGTATGTATCCTCTTAAGCCACAGAACTAAAGTTAAGGAAAAAGAAAACTGAGCTTGGGAGGACAGAACCATCTTCCGGACAGCTTCAATTTATTCAGGGGTCACACCTGACAACACCCAGGACTTACTGTGGGCTCTACGCTAGGAATCTCCCCAGGCTGTGCTTAAGAGACCATATGGGATGCGGGGGATCAAACCCAGGGTGGTTGTGTTCGAGGCCAATGCCCGACCAGCTGTACTATCTCTCCAGTCCCAGACCTGACAATTTTAGATTTAAAAAACGTTTTAGTCAGCTAAGCTAGCTGTCTTTAGAATCCATTTCATCTTAGGTGTGTAGGTGTGTATGTTTGTGTGTATATGCATGTGTGTGTGTGTGTGTGTGTGTGTATATGTATATATATCTGCATATATATACATATATATGTGCATATACATTTTCTGTGCTGGTGTTTATAAGTCAACCTTATTCACATGCCAAGTAAAGAGAGCTCAGAGGGTTAAGAGCCCAAGTTTGACCCCAGGTACCGCCTGGCCCCAGAGCACCAGAGCAGCCTGGGGGGCCGCTGTCCTCCCTGCCAGCACTCCTCAGAGTAGCCCTCAGCACAACAACAGGTGGCCGGAGCACCTCACCGCCAGGCTGCCATCGCCTGGTCAAGGATCACTGGGAGTGGCCCCTGGCTCGAAAGCGCTGCTGTGCAGGTCCACGCAAAAGAAAAATTTAAAGATGGAAAAAAAAAAAAAAGAAGCACCCTGGTTTCTGAAATGCAAATACGGCACTTGGTTACAAGTCCCCGGGGCAGTCTCTGGGCCTCCAAGGAAGGACAGCACCTGGCAGGGCACAGCAGTAACTCAGAAGTCTTGGGGGGGTGGGGGGTGGGGTCCTACAGCCAGTTCACAGCAGGAGCTGGTGCTGGGGGGTGGGGCACATCTCTTCCCAGGTGACAGCCTTGAGCAAGAAACCTATTTTAGTTGACAAGGAAACATTTCTAAATTGCTAATAACTTGGTTTAGCAACAATCTTGCTCAAACAGGAATAAATTTCCTTATTTATGTAAAACTTCCTAATAAATGAGCTTCTTTTATTACTAATTCTAACATGCAAATCAACCTATTTTATCACTGCATAAAAAATGATTACGCTCTGGTAACCCCCCTCCAAAAAAAAAAAAAGAGAAAGGAAAGATCTGTGAATCGGCAGGAGGGGATTCAAATTGGTGATAACTTTTTTTAAATTTTTTTTGCACTGGATTTACGATTCCGTTGCTTACACATCTCGTACCTACATCATGCCAACAGCACACTCACTCACTGCCACAGTGCCCGCTTCTCTCTACCAGTGTCCGGCAGGCCCCTCCCATGTGAGCTCAGTTCCAGACAAAATTAGCATCGACTTTTTATTTATTTTCTTTCTTTTTGGCTTTTGGGCCACACCCGACTGTGCTCAGTTAGGACTTACTCCCGGCTCTGCAGTGGTGCTGTGTGTGTGTGTGTGTGTGTGTGTGTGTGTGTGTGTGTGTGTGTGAGAACAATTGGTGCCAGCTTATTGTAATACAGAAAATATGAAATTTTTGAAAACCCAGGCAAGTGGCCACCTCCGCCCAAACTGGCCCCCGAGCTGAGCACTGCTGGGTGGTGCTTTCTCAGGAAGGTCCCTGGGTTCTGCCCAGAACAGTCTCCCTCCCACCCCTGGTCCCCTCCATGAGGGCGAGGCTGCCATCTTCTTGCTCTGGAAGCCCCTGTCTCCCACTCAGTGGGCATATAGCTAGTGGGCATATAGTGTCACCAACGCTGAGGGGGTGCCTGGGGCCACGCTCCGCAGCTTGGCTGCCCTGCGCCAAGCCAGCCCGATTTTCCGCAACAAGCCGCGCCTAAGGACACCTCAGCAGTAACCACAACCCTGGAATGTCTCTCCAAAACCACCACCAGGCCGGAGGCCCGACACTGGCCATTTCCGACAAGCGCTGCCTTGCACAAGGCACACAACGACGACTTGGTCCGGCTGCATTTGCCTGAACCCTGCCCCGGGGCCCCAGATCTTTGAAAAAGCTTCTTCATCCGGTAACTCTGCTGCTGCCCTGCTTCCCGCAAGTCCACCTGAGGCCTCCTCCCAACCACCAACAGCTGTAAACATCTGCCCCCCGCCCCGAGAGAGCCCACCGTCCTCTGCCACACAAAAATTATGCTGGCTGACGACCACCGAGCATGAAACCCCGTACAGAGGGGCTCATCTCCAGTTCTTGTTTTGTCTTGGGGCACATGTGGCCGTGCTCAGGGGAGCAGAATGGGGTGCCAGGGAGAGAAGTCAGGTCCCCTGTGTGCAAGGCCAGGGCCCTGACCACTGGGCGGTCTCTCCTGCTCCCCAAGCTCATCTTAAGTTTTACAACAACCCCTGAGACAAGTATAAGTTTCCAATTTACAAAGAGGAAATGGAAACTGAACAAAGATTAAGTAACTCGCCCAGAGCAGAAGTCAGGGGCGGAGGCCGGGGCTGGGGCCCTCGATCCTTCCACCTTGGGCTGGCTCTCACCCCGGTCAGTGAGCGCCCCGTGAGCAAGGACCCAGAAGGCCTGTGGCAGGCACGCAAGGCGTTCATAAAACATCTGCTGGATGAAGGGCTGAAGGTCTCTAGACAGCAGCAGTGGAAAAAAAGAACACACTTAAGGAAACACTATATATGTATGTTTGGAGGTTTTGATTCCATTGGCGGAGTGGATTTAAAAAAAAAAATCCTGGAGGGATATAACTGGCAGAGCACTGCTTTGCCGCAGGGTCAATCGCCAGCACCCCAGAGCCAGGAATTACCCCTGAGCATTGCCACTGTGGTCCCCAAACCAAAAATAAATAAAAACTGCAGGTCCTGGGGGCTAAGGATATGGTTCAAAGGGCCTCGCATACAAAGACCGGGAGCTTGATCCCTGGCATAAAATGATCAATTTTTATGCCACCCCAATTCCCCCACCGAGCACTACCCAGGGGCCAGGAGCACTGGAAGAACTTTCAGGTCTACACCGCTGAGACTGTATTGCTGAAGTGTGTGTCCCCTCCCCCCACCCCTTGGGAAGCCCAAGGCAGAACAAGACACAACACCAAGAATTTCAGGCCTTCACAATTACCATCACCTATTAACAGCAGTTTTGAAAGAAAACATTGCCCTGCATTCAAACTGCCAAAAACAAGTTCTGCTGAAACTGAGTGGAAGGGGAAAGACTTTCTTCCTGAGCGTGACCCGTCATCGTCATGCTCCTGGAAGAGCTCAGCTCCAAACTGCGCCACCGCCAGGGCAGCCCCAAACCATGATGAATCCATTCCAAAAAATCAAAACCAAAGCAAGAAGAGTTTGGTGTGGAGGACAACAGACACACAGTCATTATAATGGCCTGTGTTCCAGGCTTTGGGATCCGGGAACAGGGGCTAATCTCAGAAGAGATGTCGGGAGAGAGAGGCGACTCACTGGTTGCCTGGTCTTTGGGATTAAAACTCGTGGTTGCCCTTGTGTGGCAGGCTGAGGATCACACCAATTCTCCAGACCGAGGAGTTCCTGGGACACATGACCACAAATGCAGCCACAAGAGACCTCCACATGCCACAATACTGACAGCCCTCAACAAATACTAACTATAACAACCGGCTCTTAACCAATATTGAACTGCAATACCTAGAAGATAATTTTTTTATCCGCTGGAATATCTGTGCTAAAAGGAAGACTGGCTTTTTTTTTTAAGAGGCAGAAATTATTTTACAATATCTGGTTTTGACCACAGTATGAATTTAAACTAGTCTGCTTAAGACTTTAAAATCTTAAAAAAAAAAAAAAGAAGCAGCAAATGTGACCCAAAAAACAAAGGAAAACAGTAAACCTTATTTAAATGAATCAAATGATTTATTTCAATTAAATTAAAAATTATTTGAAGGTTGATCCAATTTGATCCAATTTGAAAAAAGAAACCTAAAAAGTTGGGGCTGGGAAATTGCTGAAAAGGCATGAGGGTACCCCAGGATGCATCTCTAGCACCTCCTATGACCTCTGGCTGGATGCTTCCAAGAACTCAGCCAGGGGTAGACCCAGAGTACCCCCAGGTATAATCCCCAAGCCAACACAGAATTATACTATCAAATATGGCTTGAAAAATGGTTCAAAGACAGGCTCCCATAAGTTTACAAATGAAAAAAGTCCCATCAGCATTCACATCCCAGTGAAGTACCAGAGCAGGCTCCCTAAGCAGAGAAATCAAAAGGACCGAAGGAAAAAAAAAACAACATAGAGCCAGGTAGAGGCTGAGCCACCACCAACCTGCATTTAATCCCTGGTTCTGCATATGGATATGTGAGCACAGAGCCAGGAGGAAGCCCTTCATGCTGCCAGATGTGCTCCCCCCAAAACTAAAATTAAAAATCACTAGTGAAACCACCAGAGAACTGCCAAAATTAGTTTCAGAAGAATATGCAAGCAAATAAGCCGAAGTGAACCAATGGGAACCAATCTTGAGCTAGAACAACAACAACAAAAAAAACCCAGCCCCTACCAAAGGCTGGTTTATTGATCATGATGATTTACCAAGGGAGAATGCTAAAATGGGTTAAAAAAAAAAAAGTCTTCATAAGATTGAACCACCAATCAAGACAAACTGGGAGGTAGCTCAGCTAAAAACTAACCATAAACAAATAAAAACACTATTCCTAAATACAATTCATGAGTTGATGGATCGGGCAAATATAATCCACTGAGCCTTTTCTCACTAACCTCAGAACGTGGATATCAGAGAGCAGGTTCAAACAATTCAGATGGATTACACAAGAAAGAAGGCCAAAACACAAAAAACACATACAAAAAAAAAAAAACCCACAGGCTTCAGGACAAAAATGAGCTTCCTCAGGCAAGCTTGAAAGCCATCTGTCTTTTTCCTAAGTACTTATTTCTGTAACTATCAGCCTGCCACAGAATGCATACAAATAATGTAACAAATTTCCATTCCCAATTATCCCAATTCCCTGCCAAAACTTAAAGACTCTTGGTGTAAGTGAAAGAATAAACACCTTCACGGCACTGCTTTTTACAAATCTAAATCTTTTCCAAATGGGCTGTAGATGGGCTATGTCTAAGGCAAACAGTCAAAGCTTCCTTAAGGTCTAAAACGTTGTCTCCCTGGGACTTACTACCTTCAATGATTAAAACTCTGTCCCCACCCACACCCCCAGAACCTGCAGCACAGCTCAATTTACTAGTAAACACTTGTCACCTAGCTTTGAAACTAAGCCTTAACCAAACTTCTCATTGTTAAGACAATATTTATATCCACTGTGTCCTGTAACCTATCTGACCATAAAAAACTGCTCCCACTGCCAGGGACCAACAGGGACCAAAAAAAAAAAAAAAAAAAAAGAAAAGCCGTGTGGCTTTTAAAGCTGTTCCAATACATGCCCGGAACGTCCAAAGAGAATGACATTTAAAAAACAAAAAAAACACCAAAATTAGCCCAGCAGCCGTTTCTACCCCGGATGCACTTTCCGAGGGGGGCCTGGGGTGGGGGCGGGGTTCTTCTCCAGGAGGGCGGGAGAGCCGAGCCCAGATGCGTGCCCCCCACCCCACCCCGCGCCCCTTCTTTCTTTCGCTCCTGGGGGTCCCCGGGCTGGATCCGGCCCCTGCCCCGGGAGCACAATCGCAGGACGAGCCGAGCCGGTGCAGGAAGCGCGGCCCGGACGGAAACAGATGGTCGCGGGCCCGGCCACCCTGGCCACCCTCGGGAGCTGTCGCGCCCCCGCCCGCCCTCCCGATGAGACCCCTCCCCCCCAAAACAAAACAAAACAGATTCTGCCTTTCACCCCGATTCCGAAAGGTGCAGCTGAATTTGGCCACCGGCGGCCTTAGAAGGGGTCCCAGCGGGCCGGGGCACACCTTTCCTGCATCCCACCCTCCCCAAGCCCTTGAGACCCCCGGCGACGCTTCTTTTGTCTTGCACCACTTCCCCCCCCACCCAAGAGCAGGTTAACGGTCAGGGCGTCCGGGCGAGCCCCCAGGGACCCCCGCCAGGTGCTCCCCGGCGTCCCGGCCGGGTCGGGAGGGTTGGGGGTCCCCGTGCGGGGAGGGCGAGGGTCCCCGGGTCAAGAGGGTGGGGGGTCCCCGTGCGGGTAGGGCGAGGGTCCCAGGGTCAAGAGGGTTGGGGGGTCCCCGAGCGGGGAGGGCGAGGGTTCCCGAGTCAAGAGGGTTGGGGGGTCTCCGTGCGGGGAGAGCGAGGGTCCCCGGGTCAAGAGGGTTGGGGGGAGTCCCCGGGTCGGGAGGGTTGGGGGTCCCCGGGTCAGGAGGGTTGGGGGTCCCCGCTTGGGGCGAGCGAGGATCCCCGGGTCGGGAGGGCTGGGGGTCCCCGGCGGCGGCCGAGAGCGGGGGTGCGGGGTGGGAGGGGGCAGTGGACCCGCATAGTGGCCTCGCTCGGAGGCCGGGCTGGACTGGGCCGGGCCGAGGTCCCCGGGACTAGGGCCCTGCTCGGCGGCCGGGCCGGACCGAGGCTCCCGGGGCAGGGGTGTCCCTGCTCGGGGCCGGGCCGGGCCGGGCCGAGGCTCCCGGGGCGGGGATCGCCCTGCGCGGAACCGGGCCGAGGCTCCCGGGTGTCCCCGCTCGTAGGCCGAGCCGGGCCGGGCCGGGCCGGGCCGAGGCTCCCCGGGGGCCCCGCTCCCAGGCCCGCGCCGCAGGCCCGCGTAGGCCGCGCCGTCCCCGGGCTGGCGTGCGCGCGCGCCCCGGGCCTCACCGCCTCCACGGCGTGCTGCAGGATGGACGTGAACTTGGAGAACATCCTGTCCCGGGACTGCAGCAGCCGCTCCCGGGACGACCTGGAGAGCTCCTCGATGCGCCGCCGCCGCCCCTGCTGCGGCTGCCGGGGCCGCTCCAGAGTGAAGGCCGGTGCGGGCCGCGGGCGGCGCGCGCGGGGCCGGGCGGGCGCGGACGGACGGGCGGACGGGCGGGCGGGCGCGGGCGGCGGGACGTGGCGGCCGCGGCGGGACGGGCGCTCGGCGCGGGCGGGCCGGCGGGCGGGCGGGCGCGGGCTCCGCTCGGACACGGTGGCAGTCGCGCTCTCGGGCCGCTTCCGCCCGCCCTGCCCGCCGCCGCCTGCAGGGGGCGCCCGCGGGGAGCCAGCCGGGAGCGGCCGCGGGAGGCGGGGCTGGCCGCGGGCCCCGCCCTCGCGCCGCTCGCTGCCCGCCCCGGGCGCCGTCCCGCGGACTCTGGGCCAGGAACTCGGCCCGCAGCCAGGAATCCCGACGGAAGTCATTTGGAGGTAAGCAAGTTTAAAGAAATAAATAAATAAAACAATTTAGGGCTAGCTGGAGCGATAGCACAGTGGGCAGGGCGGCGTTTGCCTTGCACGCGGCCGACCCGGGTTCGATTCCCAGCATCCCCTATGGTCCCCCGAGCACCGCCAGGAGTGATTCCTGAGTGCACGAGCCAGGAGTAACCCCAATTCCTGGATGCATAAGCCAGGAGTGACCCCTGTGCATCGCCGCGTGTGATGCAAAAAGCTAAAAAAATAAATAGAAATAAATAGAATTCAGCCTTTCTCCGCTAGTTTTGCTTTCTCCCATGCAAGCACCCAGACGATCTGGGAGGGAAGCCCAGCCGTAGATATATGTATTTATTGATGTCTGTGATCATATGTACATATTTACTATGTTTAATAATATACCAATACTGTCTATTCACAGCCAGTGACACATCATCACCAGCCTTCTACTGGGACAAGTGGGACCTGCTTCTACAAACTTGGGTTTGAGAAAGTATGACTAAGGCGTCCCAAATACGTACATGTATATATTTTATATATAAGCCAGCCATATATATACTTACATATAAGCCCAGTCATATATATAGGGCCAGCCATATATATACTTATAATAAGCCCAGTCACATATATTTTATATATTTATGTAAATGTACATTTATAAATGTATAAGGTAAAGGTAAATGTATAAATATATATTTATGTCTGCGATAAAAGGTAAAGGCCCTCCCGTTGATCGTCAATTTGCTCAAGCGGGCCCAGTAACGTCTCCATTGGAGACTTTGTTGTTACTGTGTTTGGCATATCGAATACTCTCGGTAGCTTGCCAGGCTCTCCGAGAGGGGTGGAGGAATCGAACTCGGGTCGACCATGTCTGCGATCTTATATATATAAGCCCAGCCTTTATATTTATAGAAGCTTAATCATATATATATGGGCTGGAGTGATAGCACAGTGGTAGGGCATTTGCCTTGCATGCAGCCAATGTGGCCGACCCGAGTTCAATTCCTCTGCCCCTCTCAGAGAGCCTGGCAAGCTACCAAGAATATCTCGCCCACACGGCAGAGCCTGGCAAGCTACCCGTGACGTATTCGATATGCCAAACACAGTAACAACAAAGTCTCCAATGGATATGTTACTGGGCCCGCTCGAGCAAATCGATGAACAACGGGAGGACAGTTTCTTTCAATTTCTTTCATATATATTTATAGAAATATGCATTTATAAATACAAATATATGTATGTGTATATATACACATATACATATATATATAAAATGTCTGTGCGTCTTGGCAGGGTAGATTCAAAACACGCAGTTCCTAAGGCTCCGTGGACCTAGGTAGGGCTTGAATGCTAAGAATTAGAACAAATCAAGTTACGAAGGTAGAATGGCTTTGCTCGGTCTAAAATGTGTTATGGGAGCAGGGAGCAATAACACAGCGGGTAGAGTGTTTGCCTTGCACTCGGCACGACCTGGGTTCAATCCCTGGCATCCCATATGGTCCCTCAAGCACCGCCAGGAGTAATTCCTGAGTGCAGAGCCAGGAGTCACCCCTGAGCATTGCTGGGTGTGACCCAAAAAAAGAAAAAAAAATGGTTACAATCGTGTTTTAAGTACCCAGTGGACCAATAGGTAGGTGGTTCCAGAGATCTGGTTGCATGATTGATAGCTGAGACTGGAAAACCTGTGATTGGGCAAAACCAAAGAGTTCTCCTAAACCAGCAGGCGAGACTTGGCACGAAAAGGAGAGGCCTGTAAGAAGGAATTCTGTGGCCATCTGGTTAGGTCCTGGAGAAACCCCAAGGTGCTACAGAGTGTCTGGTCAGGTTGAGGCAGATGACGCAGGTGTCTGAGCTCCAGAGAGCCATTTCTGCTCCTGGTGGGATCTCATCCAAAGGGCCTTTAGGGTCTTGATAAGAGGAGGGTGGAGTAAGTTTGCACCACCCCAAGGATGACAACGTACATTTAGAATTGAGTCTGTTAAGCCAAAAAAAAGGCAGAAAAGGTGCTGTGGGGATGTGGGGTTTGGTTGTTCTGGAGGTGGGTGCTCTGAATTTAGACCCTCCCAACTTTGCCAATTTATCAAAGCAACTTGTTACACCTTGGGGGAGGGGGGCTCTCAGTTTGTTCCCTACAAGACTTGGGGCGGGGCAGCGAATACCCACCTCATGAGGTTGTGTGGGACTTTGTTGACATCTGTGAAACACTTTAACTGTTCCCAGTGCAGAGTAAGTGATGCCTAAGCCTTTGTTATTATCAATATTGTGACTGTTGGCGATATCGGTATTTAACAGAATTAGAGCCAGAAATCAAGGTTTCAGAAGGGAACTTGAAGTTCATTCAGAAAAAGAGTCCAATAAATTCATTAAGCCGAAGGTGTAATGAATGATAGAATTAAATGATAGAATTTAATGTGTTAAAATTTTAGCATAATATCCTCTCTGTCTCTGTCTCTCTGTCTCTCTCTCTCTCTGTCTCTCTCTCTCTCTCTCTCTCTCTCTCTCACCACCTGTTTCTTGTTGCTTATATGCCCCTCATCCGTTTTTTGTTGCTGATATTCTAGCACACAGATAAATTTGACCCTTGAAGTGCTGTAAGCTTCCTTTCTGTTGTTCTGTTTTGGCTTTTATTTCTGCATCTTGGGGAGCACCAGGAAGTCGTGAAGCTGCTCCCAGCTCTGGGGCCAGCAGCGTCCCATGATATCTCTCCTGCCTGCCGGAACTTCCCTTGTTTTTTGCTACAAATTGAAACATACACCATGATTAGTCGAGTCTGCTTCCATCAAGTGTGTGTTCATTACATTTGTTATCCTTGTTATTATTTATAGTTTAAGATGCTTACTCATGTTGTTAAGCTTGATTATTCTCTTGACCTAATTGTCATGCCTTTATATGGTGGCATTTTGTGCATTCACGATGCCTTCTAACCATCAATTGTATGCGACTGTCTGCTTGAAAGTGGCTTACTCAAACAGTTGTTTGCATTTGCTGATGCCTGTCTTTATATATTTCTTATAAGTATAATAAAATACAGGTCTTGCTCGAGATTAAGATCAATATTGAGGCTGCTGACTCACTGATATCTAGGTTCTAAAACATCCAAGACTAGAATTACACTTGAACCGATACTATTACTATCTATTCACAACTTGGAACTCCTGTAAGTGACATATGATCACCAGCCTTCTATTGGGACAAGTGGGACCTGCTTCTACTAAGTTTGATTTGAGAAAGTATGATTTGATTAAGGCATCCCAAATACTTAGATATGACTGCCTGAAATTCCTCAATTAGAACTTTATTTCTTTTGCATAGGCAAATTAGTAACTTAACCCCTGCTAAAATTTAAATACTCTGGGGAGAGATAACACATTGAATTCTGTCATTCATTACTCCTTCAGGTTAATGAATTTATTGAACTCTTTTTCTGAATGAACTTCAGTAAGAGAAGACACAGAAATGTACATGAGACTGACACTCGGTTGAGTTAAAGTTTAAAAAAAAAAGAGGAAATAAAAGCTGATGATGCTCATTTTCAAAATTTGGCAGACATCTAGATAAATACGTGGATTGAATAGAGCAAAATTCCCTTCCCACTCATTAAAGGGGTACTTCAGGGCCTGGAACTATAGTACAGCAGATTGGATGTTTGCCTTGTATGTGGCCAACTTGATTTGATCCATGGCACTCCATGTGGTCCCCCAAACCCCTCCAAGAGTGATTCCTGAGAGCACAGCCAGGACTAAGTGCTGAACATCACTGGGTGTGGTCCCAAAACAACAACAGCAAAACAAAGATGAGACTGAGAGGTGAACTATCTGTGTTTGAACAGGTTTTCAAAAGGAAAGGGTGGCATTGAGTTAGTGATAAATACGAAGATAACAGCAAAACAAATAAGGGCCTGATTCTTATTAACAGCAAACATCAAATTCAGGCTAGAATGAGTAATCACAGTTTGAATATTTCAATGGAAAATTGCATTTTCATAACCATCATCGTGTAAACTCTGATAGAATTTAAAAATAGGGGATTGGGCTATATATTATTAATACCTAGGGAAGCACCTCTTTTCTAAAAATGTATCAAGAAGTATGAATAATATTAAAAGACGAGATGTAAATTGTAAAAGTTCAAGTCTACTCAAAGCATTGAAAGCTTTGAAAGTAGACTGAGATGCAGGAAATTGGGAGTTCTGAAGGAAGCACCTTTCATAACAAACTCTGTAAAACCTTCTGACAAAACTGCACAGTGGTGTAACTGATAAAACCAAAGTTGGGCTTGGTAAAGGGAGAAACCTGAAGCCAGAGACAGGTTTTTTTTTTTTTTAATGTTCAGACAGAAATTCTAAGAGTTCAGAAGTGCTGCAATAGGTTAGAAATGGTATCCTAGAACCATGAGCTAAGATTAGCCAGATTTTGCAAGTGATTGACATAAAGGGGAAGGAAAAGTCAAAGATATGACAGGAGTTTCTCGTTTGGGTGAGGTTAGTGAAAGTGTCGACGATTGAGATAGGGACTCTGGAGCCACAGGGAGTGGATGACACGGCCTGGTGACATGTTGGGCTTGATTGCCTGTGTCGTGGGTTAGGAATCTGGATCAGAAACATATGGGCTAGGAGTAAAGATTTTGACAATTTACCTCCAAGATAGTAATGGGCATGTAGGAGGAAATAAGAGT